GCACGAGGAGATCTGGCTACGCCGTCCTCCCGGTTTCACTGGTACTTTCCCTCCTGTGACCTAGTGCAGCCTGAGGCGACCAGTCTACGGTCTCCGCCAGTCGCCCCGTGAGTGGCACGACACTCTTCGCTCCACGCTTCGTGACCTAGGGTTTCGCCCTTCCTCTGCTGACCCGTCACTGTTTGTTCGTGTTGGCTCCACTCCTTTCTTTATACTCGTCTACGTCGACGACTTGGTCTTTGCTACACCAGACAGGGCAGCTCTGGCTGAGGTGAAGTCCGAACTGCAGAAGAGACACACGTGCACTGACCTTGGTGAACTGCAGCGCTACCTTGGCCTGCAGATCACCAGGGACAGAACCGCTCGCACCATCGCGTTGACGCAGTCACACATGGTGCAGCAGGTCCTTCAGCGGTTCGGGCTTCAGCACTCCACCACCCAGCCCACTCCTCTTGCTGTAAACCACAGACTCACCGGCCCCTTCCCCGACGAGCCCTTTGAGCCCAATGGTCCCTACCCAGAGCTTGTTGGCTGCCTCATGTACCTGATGACCTGTACTCGCCCGGACCTTGCCTACCCTCTTAGTGTCCTCTCTCTCTTTGTTGGACCTGGGAGGCACCGTCCTGTTCACTAGACGGCTGCCGTGAGGGTGGCGAAGTACCTGGCGACTACATCAGGCATGGGGCTTGTGCTTGGAGGGACTCGACCAGTTGAGCTGACTGGCCTCTGTGACTGCCCTGTAAGAACGCTGTCCTGAAGTCCAGAGAGTGAAGCTCGTAGTCACGCTGAGCGGCAACGTGCAGCAGCACCCGAAGAGTGGTCATCTTCGGGGTGGGGGAGAAGGTCTGGAAGAAGTCTACTCCCTCTCGCTGACTGAAACCTCGTGCAACGTAACGAGCATTGAAGACAGGCGGAGAACCCGGCGGCCGCTTCACCCTGAAAATCCACATGCCATCGACTACGTTCGCCCCAGGAGGGGGAACTGCGTCGACGTAAGTGCCTGTGGACTTCCAGGATGCCATCTCTGCGTCCATGGCTGTTTGCCACTGAGAGGAGTACTCACCCGCGATCGCCTCTGCGTAAGAGCGCGGGGTCGGGATGTCTGGAGCATCCGGGTCTCCCTCAGGGGCAAGCAGCATGGCCACGAGATGAGGCGCAGCGGCTGCAAGACACTCAAAGTCCTCCTGCCTGTCCTCAAGGACGTCCGTGCCAAGAGCACACTCACCCCCGACGGACGGAGGACAGACACACTCAGACTCAGCAACAAGACTAGCAGCGAAGTCTAGACGACAGGCAACAGCAAAGTCAACAAGCTCAGAGACTAAGGCAGACGCAGCAGCAGACTCAAACGACGGGTCAGTGACAACAGTGGCTAGCAGACGCGTGACTGTGGGGTGAGCAGCACGAACAAGGTCAAACTCAGAGTCCTGAACGTCAGGCAGAGAAGACGCAGGAGGAGACGGCAGGGGAACACGTTGTGGAACAGAGGAAGGACGAAGTGCCATAGCGTGCGTGCCAGGGACAGGAGGCGGACGCTCACGAGGAACACGACTACCAGTGCGACGCGCGCGAACAGGCGAGGCAGGACGAGACGCAAGCTCACGACGCTCTGTAAGCGAGTCTGTCTGCTCAGTGTAAGGAGAAGGAGCACGCAGTGGTGCGCCGGGCTGTAACGAGAGGCCAATAGAAGACGGGAGGCTAAGAACCTGGCGAAGCACGGAGTCACGCGGTGGCAGAGACGACGGTGACGGCGGAGCGAAAAACAGTCCCGGCGGTGTAGTGCCACCAGTACCAGTAGCTCCAGCGCCTCCAGCAGCTCCAGAACCTCCAGCCCCAGGGCCTCCAGCAGCAGCACCTCCAGCTCCAGTGACTCCAGCAGCAGCACCTCCAGCTCCAGCGCCTCCAGCAGCTCCAGAACCTCCAGCTCCAGCGCCTCCAGCAGCAGCACCTCCAGATCCAGTGACTCCTGCAGCAGCACCTCCTGCTCCAGCTCCTCCAGTAGCTCCAGAACCTCCAGCTCCAGCGCCACCAGTAGCAGCACCCCCAGAACCGGCACCTCCAGCCCCAGGGTCCCCAACTCCAGAGTCTACAGTACCAGCTCCAGGGCCTCCAGCAGCAGCACCCCCAGAACCGGCACCTCCAGCTCCAGGGTCTCCAACGCCAGGGTCGACAGCACCAGCTCCAGGGCCTCCAGCCCCAGTACCTCCAGCAGCAGCACCCCCAGAGCCGACACCTCCAGCTCCAGGAGCAGTACTAGTCCCGGCAGCTCAGTACCTCCAGTACGAGCACCTCCAGGACCAGAGACACCAGCACTCCCAGCGCCTCCACGACAAGCAGCTCCAGCAGCACGACTCCTCAGGCGGGTACGCGACGCAAGCCACTCTCGTGCCTGCTGTGGTGAGACAGGCCCGCGTCGTGAAACAAGACCCAGAGGAACGCCAGCAGACTCAGCACCCCCCGACCCAGCACCCTCCGGCTCAGCACCCCCAGGCTGCGCACTCGTAGGCTCAGCACCCCCAGACTCCGCAGCCGCAGGCTCAACACCCCCAGGAGTAGTACCAGTCCCGGCAACTCCAGTACCTCCATTACGAGCACCTCCACGACCAGAGACACCAGCACTCCCAGCGCCTCCACGACAAGCAGCTCCAGCAGCACGACTCCTCAGACAGGTACGCGACGCAAGTCACTCTCGTGCCTGCTATGGTGAGACAGGCCCGCGTCGTGAAACGAGACCCAGAGGAACGCCAGCAGACTCAGCACCCCCCGACCCGGCACCCTCCGGCTCAGCACCCCCAGACTCCGCAGCTGCAGGCTCAGCACCCCCAGGCTCCGCACTCCCCAGCACCTCACGCGCAGGCTCAGCACCCCCAGACGCAGCACCCCCAGCAGCACCTCCCGCAGCAGCACCTGAGTCGCTAGTGACCTCTACAGGCTCAGCCACGGGGGGCGGGTCTACCTGAGACACACCTGAAGGAGCAGGACCCTGAGGGGGGAGGGGGTCTACCGGAGGGGTACCTGGAGCGAGGAAAAGCGGCGGGGGAGGGAGAGGGGCAGTGCGGTAGGGGAAGAGACGGTAGAAAGGAACCGACTCGTCAAAGGTGACGTCTTGAGAGGGGAAGACACGGTGCGAGGTGGGGTGGTAAAACTGCCAGCCAGGCGCGTCAGGGACAAAGCCAAGGAAGACACAGGGAATGGTGCGGGAGGAGAACTTGTCCGCGGACGTATCGCGGACAAGGGCACGAGCACCCCAGACCCGGAAACGCGACGCATCGCCAACCTCCCCCGTCTAACGCAATGTGGGAGAGGTCTCCGGCAAGGAGACACGGGGCCAGAGGTTGAGCTGATGCGCGGCGTACCGGACCGCAAACGGCCACAGAAAATGGGGAGCCGCCGCATGGATCAAGGAGGTACGAGCGACCTCCATGACTAAGCCAATGCGGCGCTCAGCAACCCCATTTTGCTGCGGTGAGCCCGGAAGCGTGAACGACTGCTCGATGCCCTCCCCCTGACAGAAGGCCCGCAAGAGGTCGGGGGTGAACTCACCACCTCTGTCAGAGTGCAGACGCAGGACAGGAAGGTCCTGGCGGAACCTGCGGCGGAGCTGGAGACGAACTGCTCGGATCCAAGGGATCAGGATAGCAGGGACCTCACCCTTGGTGCGCAAGGGGAAGACCGTGGTGTAACGCGAGTAGTCGTCGACAACCAGCAGAAAGTACCGCTCACCGCCCTGTCCACGAACGCGGGCTGGGCCCCACACGTCCAGGTGGAGGGTCTGCAGAGGAGCCTCTGTCGGGGGAAACGAGGAGGAGTGAGGAGCGGCGCGCTGCCGCCCCTCGACGCAAGGAAGGCAGGGCAGGGCGCTGGCGCAGGGCAGGGCGCTGGCCTAACGCGGTAACCGTAGTCGATCACTAGGTAATGGTGGGTCTGAAAAAAAAAAACGGTCCTACGGACCTACTGCTCTGATACCATGTCAGAATTAACAAGCAGTAATGGTGTAAACTATCGAGAGAGTTGGTACAAATACAAAACCTAAAGGGGTTGTACCCCATGTTGGCTACCCCACTATAGCCTACCCATTATACCAAAGCATATATATAGTTTGACACTCTTCACCAAGGCCTTGGCGCCTGGTGATCACCACCGGTTCTGTGTGCAGTTAGGGCTTGTTGAGGCAGGTCCTCGGTTGCTGTAGCCTTGTTGTTTGCTTTGCTTGTTGTGCTTTACTATTATATATCCTAGTGAACTCTTGAACTGGCCTTGTGGCCGCTTGCTTGTGCTCGGAATTTGTGTGGTGTCCTTGAGATCCACCCTGAGCTTGTTTTGCTTCTTGCATGGACTGGTCTTGTGACCGTTTGTTCACCCTGCTTGCTTTGATGCCCCTCACTCAGCCTATAGGGTTGTGTCAAATGTTAATATTTGTGATAGGCTGTAGTGAGGTGCTCCTTAGTGAGTACAACTCAGTTAGGGTTTGCTATTTGTATCACCCACATTCCTAATCTCATCATTCCGTTGCATTCTATTTCAGAGACTAGCATCTACCAGTGATTTTCGTTCCAACACGTCTGGCCTGCGCCCCTGTTTCGTCCCGCCCTTTCTACGGTTTGGACTAATCGAAAAACCATCAAAATGCTATCCTTTTTTTCTATTCTCATGCAGCCGTTTAGTAAACATAATATTGTAGTTGTTACCCCCAACACCATAATCTTCATCCAGGGAGCAGTTTGAACTGAATAGAATACAGATACTACACTAGTGCAGCAATAATAGTAAACTTCGGGAGCAGCTGTATGTAGGTCGTTGCCACATGTCATTGGGGGGGACCACTAGTTTCCCCAAGGCTTCGTCAAGCAGAACAAGAAGCAGGACGCTAGGTAGGAGGAACAGATGGTCGCCCCAGAACGAAGCAGTTTTCCCGCTTTGCGGAGTTTCTAGCGGGCTATGCGGAGACTATTTGCACGTTCTGGTAACCATCTCTCGGACGATCGCAAGGCAGTTCCTCAATGTCAAAGCTACGACTCTTCAGGGCGTTAGTGCCCTCGGCTCTGTTTCTAGACTCTTCCGCAGCGGCCAGGGCAGCAGCAGGGGCTGCAGCGATTTCGCAATCCGGAGGTCTTATCGCTCAGTCGTCGCAGCATTGCGCCGATCTTAGCCATTGCTTCGCTACAGTCACTTCTCCTCATCGCAACCAGCAAGATCCATCAGCAGAAGCGGAAATCGCTGGCTCGAACGATCAGGAAGCCGATTCGCTGGTCCTGTCTGGCGCAGGTGACGACGGAAGCCGATCGGGCGCGGAACGAGCTGCAGGTTCATCAGATGGACGGTCAGACGGGGACGATGGTTTTCGTGTTAGGTCGGAGCCGTGGATCTTCAACCTGACCGAACTTCCTCCTGATTCGACGGCTGCGCGTTTGTCAGAGGAGAGTAAGGAGAACATCTGGCTGCTGCATCAGAAGGATCCGGGTCATTGGAGCGTCGCACGGCTGGCTCGCGAGTATCGCGTGCGACAGCAGCGAGTGCATGCGATCCTGTGGCTCAAGGATCTGGAGAAGAAGATGGAGGAGGAGCAAGGCAAGCCTCTTGATGACTCCATCCCAAAGGAGTTTGAGAAGCAGCATGGGTTGGTGTCTTGCCCTTGTCGTTTATCAAATTCTGATTTTACGAGCTTGAGCGCGTGTGTAACTATCTTCTCACGTGGTCCTTTAATTCCCCCGTGTTTGTTCCCCCTTCCAATCACCGTCTTCAATTCTGTCACCTTTGTCCCTGCATTTTCCCCCTTGCTTCTTCAACTGTGTCTCCTGTCTGCTTCAGTTCCTACGACAAGGCAGTGGGAGAGCGGCATGTGAAGATCTACCCGAGTGAAGCCGTGGACTCGCTTCCAGAGGGGCCAGAGAGAGTGAAGCTGCTGCTACAGGAGTCTGAAAAGGAGGAAGTGTGGAAACTGGACGAGTTTGTCAAGAGAATGGAGTTCAACAAGAAACAGGTACTTGTCTCATGTGCACTTGATTGTGCACACACACACACACACACACACACACACACACACACACACACACACACACACACACACACACACACACGCACGCACGCACGCATGCACGCACACACGCACACCCCCACACGTACATGCACATTTGCATGTGGACACCCACTCGCACATAGCAAATGGCTGTTTTCATTGTTAATTATCATCCGCTGCATCATTCTGTACAAATGCTGGACTTTTGTATTCCTAACATTTCCCTCCACTTGCACATCCTCCCTTTTTGCTAAAAACTCTCTGACGTTCTGCTCCAGATGGCCGATGGCCCAGTTAAAGTCAATGCCATGGAGCGCCGCAGGCCTCCAAATGGCTGGACTTACCTCGTGGAAGAGCTTGGGGAGGCTGGCCGACGCGGTCGCGGTGGAGGCTATCGCTTCGTGGTTGAGCCAGGTGCCCGGCGGCGTGGTTTAACTGCCTTGGAGAAAGAGTTCCTAGAACGAGAGACCACACGTAGGCGCCGCCGTCTCATTCCAAAATAGGGAGCAGTCTTCCAATTCCGGCTTCGGGTTTTAACCCTTTTCATGTTTGCATAATATGTTTCAGTAGAAGATTACTGAATCTTGATCATTCACTAACATGCTCTCTAAGTGAAAATGTGATTGTATCCTTTAAGCATCTCTATAGCTCCGCGCTTCTCTCCGCTATCGCGGTCAACAAACGTCCAGTTTCCCACAAAACCTCGAGAGCAGTTCCTTTCTCTTTTCGCGCCGGAAAATCGGTGCCTCATTGGCTACGACCTGGTTCGGTCCGGTTCGGTGGGCTATGTAAAGAACAGAGGAATCTGACACAAAACTCCAGGCAGGTCAGCCAGACTGAACCCCGCCCCGAGTCGCTAGTTGTAGGCTGAGAACCTGTTTTTCCGCCTCCACAATCTCGCTTCTTAGCCTAGGCTTCTGCTCTTGCAGAGTCGAAGCACACTGAATCTTATCATAGTAGAACTCTTCGCTGATCTGCGTAAAAGCAGCATCGGATGATATACTGCATTTAATCCCCCAGTGTATGATAGTTCTCATTCGACTTCTTGGTGCTGGACTGATCTTTCATACCGTATCATCTTCTTGTTTCGAAGTTGGTCATTCTGCCGTTGATGATCCACTGGCTCACTTCTTGATGGCGGATGCACTGTGGCCTCACGCGTGTTGCTTGGCCATTCTCTGATTGGCTGTTTTTGTTACCGTCGCGTATCTTTTGATATAGAAACGACATTGAAAGCCTTCAGAACAAGCTGTTACTTGAAGAGCCGACATGAGGTCGCTCAAAGGAAAGCATGTGGTCATTACCGGAGGTTCAAGTGGAATCGGCCTTGCATGCGCTAAGCAATACTATCGCGAGGTACTTTCTCTTTAGGCCAGCTGCCGCTCTCCTGCATTTTTTCCTAGAGGAATAAAGTTGTCCCTTTTTCTTTCTTACAGAATTGGTTCTGGGGAAATTGGAGTTTCTCTTCCTCTGACGTAATCCGCAGGTTTCCTTTAATTGTGACGTGTGAAAACCACAGGGTACTAGTGTGACATTGATAGCTCGAAATCACAAGAAGCTGGTTCAAGCAAGGAAAGAGGTGGAAGCTTGTCTTGACAACATAGCATCCCCTTCAAGCAACACCAGGGCCACGCTCATCTCCCATAATCCGTGGGTATCCATTAAGGTTCGTCTCATTTGTCACTTGAATTCATACATTTTTTTAGAATAAATGTCTACCTTTATATTTGAATGGTTTCCGTACGACATGCCTTTGTAACTTGTTTTTTCATACATTTTCCCTGCATTTTCCTTACAATTCCAGTCGGTGGATGCTACTGACCCGGCGGCTATCAAGGCAGCGATCACATCAATAGACGAGGAGTGCCCGATTGACGTTCTGCAGTGCAACGCTGGGATTGTGAGGACCGGATTTGTGGAAGACATATCGGCTGAAGACGTTCAGTCTCAGGTTCACACCAACTTCCTGGGGAGTGTCTACCCAGTGCAGGCTGTACTCCCAAGCATGAAGGCTCGGGCGGAGGCTGGGGAGGAGCCTGGTGCTATTGTCTTCACGTGCTCTCTAGCAGCCCTGGTGAGCCTTTCTAATATTCTTAGTCGTCCATCAAGCTGCCCTTACGATCCGACTATTCCATCTATCACGGTTAGCGGTGCTGCTCTCAATATAGCGGTGCTGCTGTAGTCTGATCCTGATACTCGTTTCCGCTTTGTTTTACAGAGCTTTTGGTATGGAGCTTCGATATATACTGCCACTAAGTATGCAGTCAGAGGATTTGCGGAGGCTTTGCGGCTTGAACTTCTCCCGTACAACATTCAAGTGTCACTGATATGTCCAGGCTTCACAGACACAGCACTACTCGATGATGGTGAGCCAATCTGCCTTCGCTCCTCCCATTTGCACTTTCTTTGTCACCTCGACATCTTACAAACGCTTTCACACTCCTCACTGTCCTGAATCCCCTTTCACCCCAACCAGCTGAGTTCACTGGCAAGCATTTAACCAGGTCAATGAAAATTGCATGCTTCTACGACCGCAACAACGTCGAAACTCCAGACTCCATAGCCCAATGCACCATAGCGACGGTTCGCTCTGGGGAGTTTTTAGTGGTTACGACCCATGGCATTGTCCCACGGACGCTGTGCTCCCTGTCGAGAGGGATTTTTCCATCCAACAACATCTTCATGTGGCTGTTTGAGATTATCTGGGCCTTCGGCTCCAGGATTGTATCACTGCTGGTCCGTGTGCTCATCTTCTCTGGATTGCGGGCCATCCACAGGCAGCAGCAGCAGGAGCAACGGCAGCATGAGAAGGGGTCTCAGCAGCCAGCAGGGAAAAAGAGGAGTGCGGCCGTGTCATAGAAACCCATCGAAGTCTAATAGCTAATCAGCATGGTAATGTGCTGCAGGTCCATGTGCCATGATGCTGGTCCTCCAAGAGCCCGTCTAACACATTGATCCAAGCCCACTTCTTTGGGCAACCTACTAACACGTTACACGTACCTTGTCAGGCAAGCCTTGATGTACTACTAACAATTTGTACGGTATAAGGCAACCACAATGTACGTGTAGTTGAAGGGATGTTATTCTCGTCTAAAGACACGTTTTATTTGATTCAATGTGCCGTGTACGGTACTCATCACTTGAAAGTGTGCAGGTTATGAACAAACAAGCAGTGAGAGGGCATACGTTTCAGCTACGCATCTCTACCAGGACTACCAGAGTGTCATTTATGAATTCGACGCCATATTTGTTGTGAGGACTACTTACACTAAATGGAGAAGGGATACTCTGTCATCACTAAGTCTTCATACATTGAAGTACCGCGCATCGGCGGCAGTGAGCAATGTTTGGCCAAATCAGCTGATTCTCCAAGCCAATGTTCCATCTATGTGGCTCATGCAAGCTGCGCTGAGGACATTTGCAGGCTAGTCTGATGGTATCAGCACTGTAAGAGGAAGGCTGTGTTCATAAATATACCGTGCACCGCTCACCCTCCGCCTCCAGTGATCTGTACCAACTGATACACTAGCAGGCTATTTACAATTGATCGCGTGAAATAGCGGTTGCAGGCTATATGAGTAAGGGATATGTGGTGGCGCCTCAATTACACATCAATCACACTGGTCACTTACACGTCATGGGAGGTTGACCGCATGATACTGGGACCAATAAAGAAGTTCTTTTGTACAGCACGGAGAAGGCGATCAGGGGACCAACGATACGATGGGATGTTTGTCAAGATGTCCCTGTTTGATGGAGGTAAGATATTGGGAAGCCAAAGTAAAAGGGGACGTGTTCTGGCTGAATGACTGAGAAACATACAGAATTGAGGCCATTCAATGGCCACCTGAGGGCATGCATACATGCTCATTGAGAGAGCGTACACACTCATCTTTGTTGCACATGCATACATGAGTGCATGTGTGTGAATTGCACACGTGGGGGCATAAGCACAACTGGAAGGAGGGGTTGATGTACCTGTGTGGAATGAGAAAGTTCTTGTATTTGTCATGCAGCGTTGTAGCCAGAAGTTGTCGAATGTTCCTGCGTGTGCTGATGTGCACTATGTTCCAGCTGCCCTGGAGCAGTGCCAGCTCCTCAAAGGCTGCATTGAATCGCTTCAACCTGTCAAGGGGTACCACGCCGTTTTAGTGCTACGTAGGTAAGCAAGCGTAGGGCAGGACATGTTTTGAGAAATTACTTGCAAGGAGACAAGATCCAATTCACTGACCTGATCCTGAGCTCCTGTGCATTGAGCTGGAAACTGGCCTCCATGCAGAGAAGGTGAGAGCATATCTGAAAGCAGAAAGAAGGGAGTGCATGGAAAGATATATGCTGGTAAGTGGTATGGGTGTGGATGATATGGTTGGCTCTGCATTGCCAGGGCCACAGAACTAAATAGCATCGTGCAAAGGGAGCTGTAGGAATATGCACTCCCAATGCATCAAAAAGCTTACCTTGACAGTGATGGCGTCTATAAAGGCCAGTTCACACTCCTTAAGCCGCTCGGACTGCTTCATAGCCTCCTTCATGCTCGTGCTTGCACTGAATAGAAAGCAGAGACCATGAGACCATGAGAGCATGAGTGCAGAGCAATGGATAGGTCTATTCATAACACAGAAATCATTGGACCCATGGGCAAGTTGCTAGATATAGCATGAAGCAGAGCCATGCACTCACAGAGAGTTGGAGACATAGGCAGTGTTGTTGAGCATGAAGAGAGCAGCAACAGTACGCTCTGCAATGACCTCTGCCCGCACTTCCATGTTGTGGTGCAGCGCCGCTAGAAGGTCACTGATCTCCTCATTCAGCACTCTTCTTGTGCCTGTCTCCCCTCCCCTTCGCCTGTACACGCTCTCCAGCATGCACGCATACCGAGAACCGTCTCTGTGGCAGTGAGAGGAGAGAGCGAGGGGGTAAGAAACTGATTTCCTCGTCCAATACTCTTCTTGTGCCTGTCTCCCCTCCTCTTCTCCTGTACACGCTCTCCAGCAAGCGAGCATAACGGGAGCCGTCTCTGTGGGAGAGAGAGGTGAGAGCGAGGGAGTAAGGACAAGGTAGATGACGGAGGGGAGATTGAAACAGGGGGGTGGTTGGACGAGAAAGATGCGTGTGTGCTTGTAAGGTTGGTGCGTGTGTGATAGCATGCTTGGTTATTGCATACAGCTACTCACTCAATTCTATGCTGGTTAGCACCACTCATGTTCTGATCACATGGCCATTCCCAACCTCTCAGTAACATCGTCAAGACTCACTTGCGCAGCAGATGAGGCGATTTTTGAGTCGACTCAAAAATCGCCTCATCACACGCGGATGTTCTGATCACATGGCCATTCCCAACCTCTCAGTAACATGGTCAAGACTCACTTGCGCAGGAGCTGGTTGACGTAGTTGACAGTGTAGCTGGTGATGGCATGCACTGACACATCCGTTTCTTCCCTTGGCCTCTCTTCCGCTGGTGCCTTCCACAACCTGCCACAGGCCGGACAGAAAGCATTTTGCAGCTTTTTAACGGGGATGCACACATCGTGGTAGAAGGGTAAGGACCAAGAGTGGATTGGGTGCTCAGAATGCTTTCCCCATCTTTATCCCTCCCCGTTCCACCTTCTTTCACTCCTGAGGGTGCAATCAGAAAGGCAGCAGCTATGGGGCATAAAGCTGCACCCACACCGTTCAGCTTTCCCTTGGAACTTCTCTACCTACTCACCCTTTTCTATTCCGATTTCACCCCGTTTCACCCACCTGAAAATCTTCTGTGCAGACCGTGGCGATGCTGCAACAGCCATGGCCTGCTGCGCCGCACCAACATCGTTCAGCCTCTCCTTGAGCTTATCAATCGACGCAATTGCTGCTGATGTCAGCAGTTTTGGCAGCTTCTTCCATTGCTCATGGGCTTTTTCCATACCTGCTGCCATCAGCACATCTTCCATCTGCATAGGTGAGTGAGTGGAGAGGGGAGGGTCAAGCAAGGCAGGGCGCTATTGTTTTTGAGGCGCCTTGGCGATAGAAAAACTGCTGTCACAAGCACATGTTCCATCAGAACTGATGGATGGATGGATGAAGTACAGCAGGAGAGTGAGATTGTTTCTGATGCACCATCAATCAGAACAGAAAAGCTGCTGTTCTTCCTTTCCCTTATCCTTTGAGATCATGTCTAGGTAACTCACTCCTCACTCACTCCCTCACTCACTCACTCACTCACTCACTCACCTGCGACCCGAGGTCCTGGGTGGTCTGAATCATATCCAGCAGACTGAACAACTTCTCGGGCTGTTCATCAGATGAGCAGATGGCAGCAGCGTTGCCGCACAGCAGGTGCAGCGCCTGCTTCAGCGCTGCTGCTCGCCGCACGACGCGGCGGAAGGAGCGGGTGGAGAGGGTGTGAGAGAAGAGGAACACGCTGTCGCAGAGGAAGCGCTCCGCTACTAGCAGCACGTCCATCTGCTTGTATGGGGTACGGGATGGGAGGGATTGGGTAAGGTTAGAGTGCGAAAAGAAGGAGCCACAGTACTCAAGGGTTTCGACAGAGCTTCACTTCACATGCCACAGACAGACAGCTTTACGGGTATTCTCTCACTCACTCACTCACTCACCACACCAGCAGGTAGTGGTTATGTCACAGCAACCTAACCTACAGCTGACAGTCACAACCGCACTCACCAACAAGTAGGCATCCCGCACCCAGGTCTTGAAGAGGGCCTTTCACAGGAGTATCCGTACCAGTAAGAAGTAGTCACTGTAGTGACCATGCCACAGCAACCTAACCTAACCTACAGCTGATTGATAGTCCCCAGCACACTCACCAGGAGGTAGGCATCTCGCACCCAGGCCTTGAGAAAGGCCTCTTGGGAACTCCAAGGCAGAGCGGAGAGGGCAGGGGCACGCATTTCCCCCATCTCCAGGGCTGCTATGGCTGCTTCGAGGGCTGCTGCCCGCAGTGTGCTGGGGAGGGGAAGTATACGGGGTATAAGAGAGGGTGGAGGGAGGGTGGGCGGAGGAGAAGAGGACGGAAGGAAGAAGGGCGTGCTGCTACTGCGTCCTCCGAAGTGACATTTGAGTCGACTCATAAGTCACCTCTTTTGAGTCGACTCAAAAGTCACCTCTTTTGAGTCGACTCATAAGAGGACGGAAGGAGGAAGGACGTGCTGCTACCGCGTCCTCCGAATTCCTAGACAGAAATGGGCGCGTGTAAAGAAAAGAAGGGCTGCAGTGGTAGAGGATGAGGATGGTGTTCCGTGTCGAGGAGTGTGGTTTGGCAAGAAAGGAAGACGTTTTGAGCCGTTTCAGAACGAGGATGGAGGATGGAGGTGGGGTAGAGAAGAGTGATATGGAGAGAAAGACGGAGAAGGAAGACAGCGAATGTGGGGCCCACACTGCGGGGATAGAGATAGAGAGACAGCTGACAGCATGGGTTGTGCAGTTGGTGTCAGGTAATAGAGAAGCAGCAGGTGGGTGGTGCATATGCAAGGGACCGAGGGGTGTGACATAGGGGGAGATTAAAGGGCAGATGGAAAAAAACAAGGAAGCGTGGGAGGAGAAGAAAAAAAACGGCTGAGAGGAGAGAGAGAAAGCATACCAGTACTCAACCATGCACTCCTTTGCTTTGCTGCCCTCTGCTAGCTGCTGAGCGATTCTTTCCAGAGTAGGTACAGCCTTCACAGGCAGCCATGGCACCAGCTGCTGCTGCCCGTCCTCCTCCATCCCCCCTCCTCTCTCACTCCTACCCACCCCTCCTCCTGCAACCCCTCCCCCAACCCCCCTTGGTCTTGCCAGCGGACCAGATTCCCCCCTCCGCCCTCTGACTCCCCCTAAAGGGGGAAGGGGCTCCACCCCTCCAGTTCCTGCTCTCAACCCCCCTGCCCCTCCCCCTGCCCCTGCCCCTACCCCACCAGCAGCATCTCCTGTTACAGTCACACTCGTTCCAGCCTCCCCATCTAGCCCTCCTCTCGTGCTTCTTCGAGGCACAATGGTGAAATTCGCTGCAGTGGACTGAGACCGACCGTGCCTGGTGGCTCGGCTCTGCCAAGCCTGACTTGGCAGGTCCGGGAGCGGATACAAGTCCTCTTCCTCCTGAACCTGCTGCCGATTCCTCTCCTGCTGTTTCTTCTGCTGCTCCCTTTCCCGGCGCGAGAACCGCCGCGCTCCATCCGCTGCTGCCTCTGATTCAGATCGAACCAATTGTGAGGCTCGGTTCTTCCGGGCGTGGATCGCAGACACAGCACTCACAATAGACGCAGGTCCGGACATCTGGACCGGAGAGGGCAGCAGGTTTGGGATGTCTTCTGCAGCTGCCCGGGTGCTTCGGGACACCGAAGCAGAACTCGCCGAGCCTGATGTGTCTGAGAGAGGAGAGAACGTGAAATTGGAGGAACCCCCCCCATCTTCCTCCTCATCCCCATTTGTAGCAGCCTCGTTTTGAGCACAAGCATCATGGTTTCTGCTAGCATTTGCCCCCATCCTAGGATCATGGGATTCCGCTGCAAAGGTATCTTGCACTTCCACAGCTTCTAATTCCGCAAAGAGGGGATGGGGATGGGTCTGCTTAGGGGATATGAGCTCAGGGATGCAGGGAATCTCCACATGTGGAGTGCTGAAACGATGCGCTGGACATTTCCCTGCTGCCGCCATCGCTGCTGCTGCTACTCCTCCCATTCCTTCTGCGCTTCCTTCTCCTCCACCTGCTGTCCCGTCCCTTCCAGCGGCCACAGCAGAAGGGTTGGAGTTGGGGGAGACGTGGGGGCTACGGTGGCACACACCGAAGGCTGCATGCAGGGGATCACGCGCAAACAGATCGTCTGACATGGTGCGCTTATGCACACTCGCTTCCTCTTCTGTCATCTCTCCTTCCATGCCACTCCCTGCAGCTTTCCCTTTGCCGCCAGTCCGTGATGCCGCATCTCCTCTTCCTCTACCTCCTCCTCTCCACCCTCTTCCTCCTTCCCCTACTCTTTCCACATTCCCTCCACTCTTCTCTCCCGTTTCGCCTGCAAATGCCGCTTCCTCTGCTGATGCAGCCTCCTCTTCCGCAGCTGCTTCTGCTGCTGCCGTTGCTGCCAGTTTCCCAAAGGGATCCAGAGTGATGGGCGGCCGAGAGGACAGCTTCTTGAATCGCTTCACAAGTGCACTGTACTGTGCATTGTACATGGGGTTGACCGCTCTGCTGGTACCGCCCCCACTGCTGCTGCTGCTGGTGGGGCTGCTGTTGCTGTTATAATTGTGAGAAGTCCTCGCGTTGTTGCTTGCTGCTGCTGCTGCTGCTGCTGAGGCCGTCGGTGCTGCTGCTGCACTGTAGCTCTCCTCCTCATCATCAATAGAAGATAAGCTCTTGCTGTAACGCGAATTGCTTATGCTGTGTCCACTGCTCATCCCACCAGAATCAGCAGCAGCAACAGCAACAGCAGCAGCAGCAGCAGCAGCCCCAGTACCAAGAGCACCATCACCAGCAGACACAGAGCGGGGGAGAGGTGAAGCAGATCGGACACTGAGGTCCAAAACACCCTTCGCCATCGGCACCTCAAACGCCTTGCAGTGCTTCACAAGGCTGTCCTTAAACTCCTCTATAAGCATCTCCATGCATCGCTCTATAAGCATGTCCACATCGCCCAGCACCTTCATCACCTCGCCTTCACTCCCAGCATGCAACCGCCCAAACCCTAACCCTAACCTTAACCGTCCTAACCCAAAACCCTCGCTCCCAGCCGGTTCTCCTTGCCGATCTCTACACCCGTTCATATCATTGCCGTCTACTGCTGCTGCCGCCGCTAGTGCTGATCCGAATATGGTCGGCGGCTGACTGGCCCTTCGCCCCAGCTTCTTCTTCCCCATCACATCTGCGAACCCCCCTTCTTCCATCGCTCCTCCTCCTGCTTCTTCCCTCCTCTCATTATCACTATAGCTGGCCGCAGCAACGCTCCTGCTGCCATACCCCTTATTCCCCCACACTCCTATGTCGTCTCTGCTGCTCTCCCCATCTTCGTAATATTCCGCCCTCCTTCCCCCCACGCCGTCACCCGCTATCCCACCCGCTGCTCCAGCTGCCCCTTCTATGTTGTTTAGCCGCGCGCGCAGGGCCTTCTGGATGGCAGAGAGGCGGGCAGTGCCGCCCAGAAAGGTGTCCAGCTGCCAGCGTGGCCCGACCGCCACCACTGCATTCAGCTGCCCAGGTAGCAGGGGGAGGGGGGGAAGAGGGGGGGGGGGGGGGGGGGGGGGGGTGGAGGGGGGGTTTGGGGCGGTTTGGGGGCATGTGCACGTGTCCATCTGGCAGCCCGGCCCGAACGCCACCACTGCATTCAGCTGCTCAGGTAGCAGGGGGAGGGGGAAAAGAGGGGGTGGAGCGGAGAAGGGGCATGTGCACGTGCTCAGCTGCCAGCGCGGCCCGACTGCCACCACTGCATTCAGCTGCTCAGGTAGCAGAGGGAGGGGGAGCGGGGAGGGGGAAACGGGGGGGCGCGGGGAAGGGGGGTAGGGGGAAGAGGGGAAACGGGAGAAGGGAGGGTAGTGTGTGTTTGGGTTGAAATGCATCTGCACGTGCTCATCTGCCAGCAAGGATCGACCTCCACCACGGCAGTCAGCTGCTAAGGTAGCAGGGGAAGCGGGTCAGGGCGAGGGGAGCGGAGTGGAGGAAGCGGGGAGAGGGGAGCGGGAGGGGGGAATGGGGTGACGGGGGGGGAAGGGGGTTGTGGGGGAAAAGGGGGAAATGGAGAAGAGAGGGGTGGGGAGTGGGGGGAAGAGGGGGAGAGTGTGTAAGATCTGTGGTGAGTGGTGCGCACAAATAGAGTGCTTACTACTAAACGTCAAGTAAGGTTCCGGAAAACCGTAACAAATGGCTTCTATCTTGCTTTTCCCTGTCTTTTCCCTTCATTTCCCTGCACCGCTTCCCCCGCAACAACAGGGCAGTGTGACGATCGCATGCGGCGCATGGGGAAAGCAACGCACCTCGTGAAGGATGGCCTTCGCTTCCTCGGCTATCGTGCGGTCCGGAGCTAGCTTGCGAGTCCACGACGGCTCTTCCATTGACGAAAGGCGACGGCGAACGTCGCCTGATGGCCCCGTCGGCGACAAAGGTAAGCGACACGCGAATATGTGCAAGAAGAAAGGAAGTTTGCTTGGACACGTCAACAGGAACCTACTTTCCCCTTGGACAGAGGTGAGTGCAAATCCGAGATTAGCGAGTCAGAAAGAGAGAACCACGGGTCTAAGTTCTAATTTGGACAGCCGTGAAACGACCAAGCAGAATGTAGCATTACGTCTTGATTCTAGACAGTGCACCGCACAATGGGTGGGTGTGAAACTACACGAGGAGTTATCACAGACTAACCAGCCTGGTAGAGCGTTTGTGTGCGTGTGGCCAAATCATTGCGATTAGGTGGCTGATTCTGCGTTGGTCTGACAGAATCAAATGTGATTGAGCGCGGTTGCAAAAACGACGGTGGGAAGAAATTCGCTGTAGTCGCGTCTCGTTGACGAATCAAAGGGCATGCGAACATGGTTACAAGACAGCTGGGTCGAAGTGAGGGAAGAGACCTGGTTTGATTCGGTCAAGCTGGCTCTGGTTTCTCGTTCGCGTATCAATTTACAAACGAAATTGCAGCTTGTGCCTACATATGCGCTGAGAAAAATCTCTGATTCATCAGACGCCTAACATTCACATAGCGGAGCATTCAATATTGAAGTCATATTTTCACGGATTTTTCTAGGACGTTTTTGTTTCTCGTCGCCTCCTCACTCAATCGTCACCGGATCATCCGCTTCGCGCATTCCAGCTTCGTTTTCTGGGCATTTTCAGCCCTTTCTTTTCTCAATTACTCCTATTCTCAATAACCTTACTCTTGAACACTTAGGCAGATCATGCTCGCTTCTTCCCGACTTGCTCACATGGCAATAGCCCTAACAACCACCGACCACCATCCCTCTATTCGGCATCCTCGAGGCGTCATTAAGGCAGCTCAATGCCTGAAAGCCTCAGAATCCCTCAATATGAAGAGCTCGATTGAATTGAAGGATCTCGGCATTGGCCGTTCCGATTGGATGGCTCGTTCGTGCTCTATTGCATTAGAAGCGCGACGCTCATTGGCGGCTGTTTCTGGGTGCATCCTGGTCGTTGGATCCAGCTCAAACGATCCACGTCAACGCATTCCTCAACCAGCCGTCGACGGCGTAGTAAGGGTCCTTCCGACCATGACTGGCTGTGGCCGCAACTTACTCCGTTCCCAACAGCGTCAGCCAAGCATTCTTTCACAGCAGCAGCAGTCGCATTCCTGTGGTTGCACTCAACATTGCGTTCCGTCTTCAAGAGTCACTTCTTCCTTCGCCCCCAGCCATCCACGAATCATTCCGTAATCATCCCTTCTCCAGCATTTAACCACCATTGACTTCTGGAGGAGTGTCACTCTCTCCACACTTCATCCCCTCTTCACCATTGATCAAGCAGTGTCCCTCTCTCTGCATCCCAGGCCCTCCATTTCCGACTCAAGCTCGCTCCAGAACCTCCTGCGTGCGGTAAACGCATCCCTCTCTACGGACTCTAATTGCTCGAGCCCTGCGTGTCTGCTGGAGTGACTGTAGAGAACAGACTACTATGGAGGGCTGCTCTTTTGATGGTTTACAGATACGTGCACGAGGAGGCTACTATGGGGTACGGAAGCACCCACCTCTGCAACTGCGCCTTTTATTTCAGCAGCGGCAGCTTGTGTGGAACAGTGAAGCTTTAGGACTCGTGCGGCCATGCGCCGCTGTGCTGTGCGTCCTGCTTGCCGTTGCAGCCGCCGCCGCTGCTGCCGCTGCTGCAGAGCCAGCCCACGGATACGGTGCAGCAGTGGGGTCACAGGACCACAGTGCAGTGGCTGCCGCACGTGAGGGTGGGTACTGGCACGGCATGGGGATGGCTTCACGGTTCCGCCTCGTGGAAGATACCCCCGTCCCTTCCTCTACTGCCACTGCTGCTGCTGCTGCTGCATCCTCATCTCGTTCCTCCTCCTCCCTTCCCCCTCCCACCTCCCGGCCCTCTTCCACCTCTCCCCTCTCCTCTCGACCCTCCTCCTCCTCCTCCCGGCCCTCTCCTTCCTCTTCCCCCGCCTCTCGTCCATCCTCCTCCTCTTCCCGGCCCTCTTCCTCCCTTCCCTCCTCCTCCCAATCCTCCTCTGCAGCTTCTCGATCTACCACATCAAATCCATCTGCCACGTCAGCTTTAGATTCTGCTCCTGCAGAACCCACTGATCCCCCTTCCCCCAAGCTCCCCCCTTCCAACAGGGGACCCACTTCAACATCCGCTCCCCCTCCTGCAACCCCCGAACCTGCCTTTTCCTCGCTCGCTCCCTCCCCTTCTGCCTCCGAGCCGGCCCTCCCTCCGCTTATATCAGAACCTATCGGATCCCCCCCTCTCTCCCTCCCACCCTCCCCCTCTCCTCGCTCTTCCCCTCGCCCCCGTCGCCGCCGCCAGCCCCCTCCCCCTCCCCTCCTCGAAGCCCCGACCCCTGCGCCCGCCCCTTCCCCCGAACTCCCCCTTGCCCCCGCCCCTGCCTCCGAATCCCTCCTCTCCCCTTTCCCCGCCCCTGCCCCTTCCCCCGCCTCCACCCCAGCACCCGCCCCCTCCCCTTCCCCCTCCCCATCCCCCGCCCCCGCCCCCGCCCCTCTCGGCCAATCACTGCTCACCAGCTCAGCAAAATGCCCCGGGATTATCATAGACTATCGCATACTCTCCCTCATGCCCATCCCCTTTGCCGGAGCGCCTGCGTTCCGATTCACCTCCAAGGTCACTCTCTCTAATGTGGGGCCCAGGCCGCTCAGGAAATGGGCGCTGTCGTTTGGGTATGTGAATCAGGAGGCAATTGGGGAGGTGGACGGGGCGGTTGTTCCTGCGGGCGTGCAGCTGCCAGTAGCAGGTGAGCTCATAGCGAGTACATTCATACATACTCAGAGGAAATGGGCGCTCTCGTTTGGGTATGTGAATCAGGAGGCGATTGGGGAGGTGGACGGGGCGGTTGTTCCTGCGGGCATGCAGCTGCCAGTAGCAGGTGAGCTCATCATAACTAGTACATACATGATACATACATACACATAAGAATAGTGGACGCAGTAATGGTTCCTCCACCCGTACCCGTCTTGTTTAGCGCCCACACAATGCTCACTCCACTGCTCTCGGTCGTTTCTCAAACATTGTCCTCTCTCGGACCTTACCTCTCGTTCGCATTTCCTTCTGCATGCTTCAACTCCTCCCCGCATTCCTTGTTTGCTCTGGCTGGTTCTTCTTCCTCCAGGCAACGGTCTCGAGCTCTCTAGTCCGCCAGGGGCCGCATTCCTGCTCACAGCCGTCCAATCAGGGGGCGACAAGCGGCGCTACCAGCACGTGGTACAGCTGGCGGGCACGGAGGTCGCTGCCACGTCAGCAGCAGCCGCACTGCCCAGGACCATCTCCCTAGATGCTACTGGGTTTACCTGCAGCGACAAACCCATGCTCTCAGGTAAGGATAGCTGGAACTGTTGCTTGAACTTCTTTGTTTCAAATCAGCAGCTGCACTGCCCACGACCGTCTCTCTAGATGCTGCTGGGTTTACCTGCAGCGACAAACCCATGCTCTCAGGTGTGAGGTTTGGGATTAGCATTATTCGCTTGCATTGTTCTAGAGCAGCTGTAACTATCTCTCTGGATTCTACCATGTTTACCTGCAGCGACAAGACCCCATGCTCCTAAGTGGAGAAGGTTAATAAGGATTCCTGCAATACCCTGCACTTCTCCCGCCTCTCTTCTGGTCGCTTTCCCCCTTCACATCTCATGTTTTCCCTCCCGCCCCCCCTCTCCTTTCGCACCTCTCCCATCTTCTCCTCTTGCTCTTATCCCCACAGGTCGCAATGACACCCTCCGCGTTTGCTGCGCTTCTACTGGCCCTTCCCAGGAGACGCAAGGTGTGTGTGTGTGTGTGTGTGTGTGTGTGTGTGTATGTGTGTGTGTGTGTGTGTGTGTGTGTGTGTGTGTGTGTGTGTGTGTGTTCTTCGTCCCTTGCTCCCTCTTCTCATGTTCCCTCTTCCCATGCCCTCTTCAACTTCTTTTTCCAGTCCGTTCGTTTAGCATAATTCCGCTGCATGCTAAGATTCTGCTGCTTTTTGTCATAATGAGTTTTGGATACCACACCCTTGTCATTAAATTCTTCTCCCATCCTCCTCCCTCCATCCTTTCCCCCTCCGACTTCCCCCCTTCTTAACCCAGTGGCGCCACTGCCACTACCAACGCTACCCATATCCAGCCAGGGGCTGCAAATCCAGTGGGACGTGCTGAGTGCAAATTCATCACAATACACTGTGGCGGTGCGAGTGAGCAACACACAGCGCTACACTGCAGTCAGCAGCGACCCCGGGTGGTCCCTGCAGTGGGCATGGCAGATGGGCGAGTGAGTGGGGTTCAGTCACAGGCAGTGATTGGGGTTCAAGGTTTAGGATTTGGGTTCGAAGTTCAGGGCTCAAATCTGATATTCCCATACTGTTTACATAAGCCTTCATTACGTTCACATGTCCCTTCAGCTGTAAGCTCTTGGCTCAAGGACTTTCCACCCTGTGACCATCTCCATCCCTTCTCTCCTCACTCATCCCGTGCTGTCCTGCTGCCAGAATGATCCTCGAGTGCGATGGCTGCCAGACGCTAAGGCAAGGAGGTACGCGTCCGTTACCATGAGGTACCATGAGAGAACAGGAGAGAACAGGAGATTGTGAAGCTATAGGGAGATTGAGCAATGATCAAGGCACGTCATGCACTGCATTCGTTGTTCTGTCAACCCGTGTTTTGGCGCCTCAAAAACAAGTTTCCAGACGTCTCAAATCTCTACCTCCCATGTTGATGCAAGTCCTCTTCCCTCCCACCACCACCAGACTGCATCACATGCCCGGCGTGCATTGACAAATCATCCATCACCAACCCCTACTCCTGCGATTCCATCCCAACCATCGTTGATGGATCCCCGTAAGCTTCTCTCTTGCCGTTCTCCCTGTTCTTGAGCCCTAACAACTCTTGAGTCGACTCAAAAGAGGTGACTCTTGAGTCGACTCAAAAGTCTTCCGTTCTCCCTGCTCTTGAGCCCTAAAAACTCCTCCGAAGTCCTCTCTCCCTCCATCGCATTTCCCACTCACACGTGTTATTGAAACGAAGCCATCTTTGACTTGAGCCACTTCTTGCTCTCGTTCCCCTCCTTTCCTCCTTACCCCTTTCCCTTCCCTTCTTCCCCCGCTTCCACTTTTCCTTCTTCCCTCCCTCCACGTCCTTCCCCTTCTCCCTTCTTCTCTGTCCCCTTCTTCTCTGTCCCCTTCTTCTCTGTCCCCTTCTTCTCTGTCCCCTTCTTCTCTGTCCCCTTCTTCTCTGTCCCCTTCTTCTCTTTCCCCTTCTTCTCTTTCTCCTTCTTCTCTTTCCCCTTCTTCTCTTTCCCCTTCTTCTCTGTCCCCTTCTACTCTTTCCCCTTCTTCTCTTTCCCCTTCTTCTCTTTCCCCTTCTTCTCTGTCCCCTTCTTCTCTTTCCCGCACTACCCCAGCCTGAACGGATCCCTGTCAGCAGCAGCATATGACAACTCGTCCTCCTCCACGACCTTCACCATGCTTCTGGTCAGTACCACACTTTTTGAGGCGCCTCAGAAGTCATCTCAGCTTTCGCGGATTGTATGTGGAGAGGATTCTGACAGCAGCATACGAGAATGCATCCTCCTCCACCACGTTCACCATGCTTCTGGTTAGCATCTCATCCCCTCGCTGTTGTCGAATCCCCTCACTAGTGTCACATCCTATCGTTTGTGTTGCATCCTGCTGCTAATATAGCCAATATCTAGGTTCCGAATCCCCTGATTCTACAGTCTTATCCCACAATTCCTCTTCCAATCCTTCCCAGGCCAAGGCACAGCAGTACTCAGATCCCTCTTTCTCACCTTTCCTGCCAATTTTACAGCACAGGTGTCGAACCAGTGGCAGGGATTCGCATGGGAGCCTTAAGCTTCTCCCTTTCCCGCTTCTATAATTTCCCTCCTCCCCCACTCACAACTCCCTCCCAATTCCCTCGCAGGCCAAGGCACAGCAGTACTGGGACCCCTCGCAGCTCACCTTCCCTGCCAACTTCACTGCACAAGTGCCAAACCAGTCTGAGGGATCCGGATGTGAACCTGAAAGCTTCTTCTTCACCTAATTCCATCGTCTCCCCCTCCACTCCCCACAACCCCAACTCTCCTCCCAACCACCACCCACCCCCCCCTCGCAGGCCAAGGCGCAGCAGTACTGGGACCCTTCGCTGCTCACCTTCCCTGCCAACTTCACGGCACAAGTGTCAAACCAGTCGCAGGGATTTGCGTGCGACCCCCCTGCTGCTCTCTCCCCTGCGGCGCTTGAGACCGTGGTGGGCGGCAGACAAACCATGAACGCCAAAGGTGGGTGGCTGATGGTAACATTACCAATCACAGGGATTCGCATGCGACCCCCCTGCCGCCCTCTCCCCTGCGACACTTGAGACTGTGGTGGGCGGCAGACAGACCATGAACGCTAAAGGTGGGCGGCAGAGAGACAGTGAGAACCAAAGGTGGTGGAGAGGGACAGTGAATGGTAAATGTGGTGGGTATGAAGTGCACAGGCGCTGAACGAGTGCTACTCACGCAGACAAGCAAAATGCTTATGGTGACCATGGGAGGAGCTGAATGTTGACCATTTACCTTGTACTGTTTACCTTGTACTGTTTACCTTGTACTTTCTTCACTTCGTTTCGTTTCTCACTTACACTAGTTATATGGTGAACTTTCACTTCCTGAAAAATCCTCCACTTATTTTCATTCCTTAATCTATGCACCACAAATTCCACCATTTGTCTCTCTCTCTGTCCCCATCCTTTCTTCCCCTACCCCAGCCTCTTATGTCGTGACATGTGGCACGGTGGCGGGAAGCGGGCCCCTTCCAACGTGCTCTGTTTCAGCCTCTGGTAACTCTAATCCTCTTGTAATCTTAAACTTTAGCAGTTTTTGACAGTCAAAATATTGCTCCCTGTCTGCAACTCGCAAGTCAAATCCTCCTGTAACCCTGACACTAAACAGCTTGCGAATCCCCCTCCCTCCCGCCCCCACCAGCCTATATCACCACCATTTTTCCTCCTGTTCATCCCACTTCTCCAGATTTCCCTCTCGCTTTAATGCACCTTCTCTCCCCCATTTCCTGCCTAGCTGGCCTCACTCCCTTTCCCCCACCCTTTCTTTTGCAGGTGATTCTGAAAATTCTGAAAAATGACCCTAGTTAACCCCCACTTTCCCCCATATTTGCTAACCTTCCAGCCTTCTTCAACTCATCGCTCGCCCCCAGCCCCTCCTGCGCCTGCGGCTGCTCCTCCTCCAACACCAGCCAGGGCGGCGGCCAATGCGATGCCACCACGTCAGCAAGCACGGATCCCGCTGCGACCGTGCTATTGGGCGAGGACCTGGCAGGGCTGGTGGTGCCGGGGCAGAGTGAGGGGGTGAGTGGATGGAAGGATGGGATGAAAAATAGTATGAGGTTATGAGGTAAGAGAAGGGTAGAGAGGAGTCAGGTCCTGGCGGGTCTGGTGGTGCTGGGGCAGGGCGAGGGGGTGAGTGGATGGAGAAAAAGGATGATGGTATGAGTGGAGGAGAGGGGGCGGGGGGAAGAGTGGAAGAGGGGAAGAGGGCAATGAAGACCTGGGGAGGCTGGTGGTACTGGGGCAGTCAGGGGGTGAGTACTTGGAAGAATAGGAAGATGGTATTTGGTAAAGGAGAGGGGAAGAGGGGAGTGAGGACCTGGTAGGGATGGTGGTGTGGCAGGTTGAGAAAGCGAGTTTAGTTTATATATGCTGCAGCAGTGAGCGTGTTGTTTCATCACCCTCCTCCCTCCTCTGTCCACCTTTCACCCTCCTCCCTCCTCTGTCCACCTTTCACCCTCCTCCCTCCTCTGTCCACCTTTCACCCTCCTCCCTCCTCTGTCCACCTTTCACCCTCCTCCCTCCTCTGTCCACCTTTCACCCTCCTCCCTCCTCTGTCCACCTTTCACCCTCCTCCCTCCTCTGTCCACCTTTCTCCCTCCTCCCTCCTCTGTCCACCTTTCACCCTCCTCCCTCCTCTGTCCACCTTTCACCCTCCTCCCTCCTCTGTCCACCTTTCACCCTCCTCCCTCCTCTGTCCACCTTTCACCCTCCTCCCTCCTCTGTCCACCTTTCATCCTCCTCCCTCCTCTGTCCACCTTTCACCCTCCTCCCTCCTCTGTCCACCTTTCACCCTCCTCCCTCCTCTGTCCACCTTTCACCCTCCTCCCTCCTCTGTCCACCTTTCACCCTCCTCCCTCCTCTGTCCACCTTTCACCTCCTCCTCCCTCCTCTGTCCACCTTTCACCCTCCTCCCTCCTCTGTCCACCTTTCACCCTCCTCCCTCCTCTGTCCACCTTTCACCCTCCTCCCTCCTCTGTCCACCTTTCACCCTCCTCCCTCCTCTGTCCACCTTTCACCCTCCTCCCTCCTCTGTCCACCTTTCACCCTCCTCCCTCCTCTGTCCACCTTTCACCCTCCTCCCTCCTCTGTCCACCTTTCACCCTCCTCCCTCCTCTGTCCACCTTTCACCCTCCTCCCTCCTCTGTCCACCTTTCACCCTCCTCCCTCCTCTGTCCACCTTTCACCCTCCTCCCTCCTCTGTCCACCTTTCACCCTCCTCCCTCCTCTGTCCACCTTTCACCCTCCTCCCTCCTCTGTCCACCTTTCACCCTCCTCCCTCCTCTGTCCACCTTTCACCCTCCTCCCTCCTCTGTCCACCTTTCACCCTCCTCCCTCCTCTGTCCACCTTTCACCCTCCTCCCTCCTCTGTCCACCTTTCACCCTCCTCCCTCCTCTGTCCACCTTTCACCCTCCTCCCTCCTCTGTCCACCTTTCACCCTCCTCCCTCCTCTGTCCACCTTTCACCCTGCTCTCTCTTCGAAGCTGTGGCACCGCCGGTCACATTTTCCAGGAGCCTAACAATTCCTACCCTCCCCCTTCTACTTCAACCCTTCACTCTCCTTCCTTATTCGACCCTCTATATGTTGTTTGTGCTTCTTCCTACCAGAGCTGTGGCACCGGCTGTGGCATTCAAGCGCACGTGACTGTATCAGATGCGGACGAAACAGGCTGGACCATGCGCGTGGCGATCTGGAACAGTGCGCCGCCCACAATCAAGAACTGGACGGCAGTCTTGGCGTTTCCGCAGGGCTTTGCGGAAAACCTCCAGGAAGCTTCCTCTGTAATGGCTCGATTCGACTCCCCACCATACGGTATGGCTGGATATCAAATGCTTCTAGATTGATGTAAGATACATCTGATGCTGACACATATAACACACATCAGATGTGCACCGCAGCAAGGCAGCTCAACTTCTCCACCACTTCGTCCTGCTTGCCCTCCGATTCAACTGTCCTCTCAATTTTCTCCTCCCTTCCCCACCTGCCCTCCCCGCCTCCCCTCCCTCCCCAGCGGACAACCTAATGATATCAGGAGAGCCCAGCGTGAACCAGTGGCTACTGGGAGACGGCGGCAACGTGCAGTGGACTCTCCGCTTCAACCGAACACCCAACACAGCCGGGTTCAACGCCACTGGTGGAGACACAGTTGCTGTCAGCTCCTCTGTCTTCCCATTGGCTGTGCTGGTGGGCGGCCAACAGTGCCAGATGCCGGCCTTCTTGCCGGCCGCTAAGGGTGCAGGGGCGGGTGGGGGCTGGGGAGTGTGGTGGAGCGTGGCAGTGGCAGTGGCTGTGTGGGCGCTGTTGTGTTGACATGCACACCTGGTTGGTTCAGCATCTACACCCACTCAATAATTGACTCTTCTAGGCAGCCCAATGATTGGTTGGAAGCTTTTTGTGTGTGTAGCATTGGGTTTCTTAGTCCATTTGTACTTATGCACTAAGTGCTGAACCTTGCAGGAATTTCAAGAATGCAATCAAGAGAAAGAAGAACATGGAAAACCACCATCAGGTTTGACCTGCTTGGTTGCACGAGACACACGCAGCCATATACACACAGCAATTGAGGCCGCAGGGCAGAGAGATACCGTAGCACAAACTTGCCATAACATTCCCAAGGTACAAACATTGTACGGTAATAACAAATAGCACACTGATCCCCCACCCCACCCAGCTGCCCTTGGGTATCAGGGTCTGGGCCTAGAGATGCCGCAGTTGAGCTGAGCTGAGCTGAGCGAGCACCCTCCTCTTGGCCATACAACAGTACCGCCCCTGAGTTCCAAGGTGCCTCAAAACAGAGCTAATAGTACGGTACCCCTGGCGTAGTGTGTCATGATTCATGAACCATGATGGCAGCAACAGCAAAACTCGCTCGGTTGCTTTTGGTCACGAGATGACTGGCCGGCCCTGCCGGTGCTGCAGCAGGTACAATGCACTCACTAGTCTCACCGCATGCCACCCATCTCGGCATGAAGTGCATGACGGGATGGGAGATGAGCAGGAGATGAGATGCTACTTCAGCAGCAAACCGCTCTCAGCTCCTCTTATCTTAGCCATGAGCTCCTGGTCCTGCAGGCGCTGCAGCAGCTGTGACACGGCTTCCTCTCACCAGTGCTACACACCCACGCACCACTTGCACGACATAAATAACCCCCCCCCCCCCCCTTTCTCCCCCCCCCTTTCTCCCCCCCCTTTCCTCCCCTTCCCCTTACCTCCTCTTGGCCATGAGTTCCTGGTCCTGTAGGTGCTGCAGCAGCTGCCGCACCCTCCTCTCACCAGTGCTTCACACCCAGGCACAACAGGCATGTCATGAAACTTCATACCTCCCCCCTCTCCCCCTTAACTCTTCTTAGCCATGAGCTCCTGCTCCTGCAGGTGCTGCAGCAGCTGAGACGCCTTCCGCTTAGCCCTGGGCGTCCCACTCCTCAGCAGCAGCTGCAGCGGCGGCACAGCACCGCACTGCACCGCAAGCTCCGTGTGCTCCCTCCCATTCAAACACAGCGAGAGCAGCACCGAAGCCGCATTCTCCTTGTTCCTCGGAGACCCATCTTTCATCAGCTCCACTAGAATAGGCACTGCACTCGCTTCTCCGATCGCCGTCTGCCCCTCTGGGGACGTCGAAAGGACGGCCAGGATCGCGAGAGCCTCGTCCATCATGCCCGATCGACGGTGCACGAGAAGTTCCACGAGAGGGGCCACCACCCCGGCACGCACAGCCCGGGCCTTATTCCCCTGGTAGATCGAGAGGTTGAAAATTGCAGTAGCAGCGTCTTTCTTTCCTCGAGTCGACCCGTGCTGAAGCAGGTCCACCAGTGCTGGTATCGCTCCCGCCTGCCCAATTGAAATCTTGTTCTCATCCATGACCGAGAGCGAGAACAGCGCCGCGGCGGCGTTTTCCCGAGCCTCCATGCTGCCTCCTTTCTCCAGCACCCGAACTATGGCCGGGATGGCTCCAGCAGAGACAATCAGGCTCTTGTTCGGGTCGTTGATCGACAGGTTGAGTAACCCGGTAACCGTATGCTCTTGCATCTTGGCATCAGCTGGAAGAGGGTTTGTGAGTAGTTCGACCAGGAGGGGAATGATGCCTCCTTCGGCCATTGCAACCCGGTTCTCCACACTTCGCTTCGCCAGCAGCCTCACGTCTACTGCAGCACTCTTCCGAACCTCCAGGTCCGGCGACCGAAGCCGGTCCCGAAGCTGCATCACCTGATGCCGATCCGAGAGCGAAATTTCCGCCGAGCCTCCGTCCCCGGTCCCACCCGAACCTCCCGCTCCCCCACCAGACCCACCACCCCCACCACTCCCACCCGCACCCCTACTCCCACTGCTGCCACCACCACCACCACTGCTGCTGCTACTGCTCCCATGCTTGCTGCTGTGATGGCGGTGCCTGTGGCCTGACTTCTGCGATCTCTTTGGAAGCTCCACATTATTGGCCTCGCACCACTGCTGGATGAGGCTTCGCAGGGAGAAGTTGGGGATGAGCGACGCGGGCTGGGACAGGATCTGCTGCGTCTTGGGGCACGTCTTGTGCCCCTCCTTCAGCCACTGCTCTATGTACGCTCGATCGTACGTCTGGTGGGGGGGGGGGAAGGGGAGGTGGGGAAGGACAAAGGGAGCGGGGGTTTGGAGCGCGAATAGAGGCCGGCTGGGAGAGGATCTGCTGCGTCTTGGGGCACGTCTTGTGCCCCTCCTTCAGCCACTGCTCTATGTACGCCCTGTCGTACGTCTGGTGGGGGAAAGGGGAGGTGGGGGAGGTGGGGGAAGAGGTTGGGGGGGTTGGTGGTGTTGGAGTGTGCCTCAGAAGTCGCCTTGGGGCACGTCTTGTGCCCCTCCTTCAGCCACTGCTCGATGTACGCTCGATCGTACGTCTGAGAGTGGGAAGGGGGAGAGGACGGAGGGGTGCGGTTAGGAGTCCAGGGAGGGAGTACAGCAGGAGGAGGGGGTAGGCGGGGGTGAATGGGGGGTGTGCAGGAACCAAACGGGGATGTGGGACAACACAAGTAAGTCAACAGCGGGTGAGGATGAGGGCTCCAGAGGGGCATTAGAATATTTTGTCTGTAACATGCACTGACCTGGCCTGTGGATACAATCACAGGATCCCTCATGATCTCCAGCGAGATAGGACAACGGAAGTCATCCGGCGGCACTACCAGCCGCCCGGATTTCGACCGCAGCGCCGACCCAGTGCCCACGCCAATGCCGCCCCGATCCACCCCATCCTCCGGATTCCCCTCCTCCCCTCCCGACCCATCTCCACTCCCCGACTTCCTCACTCCACCGCTCCCCTCCTCTCTATCCTCCATCCCTCCGCTTAGACTCACTTTAAGCCGCTCCAGTAACAGTATAATCTTCTCCACCTCCCTCAACTTCTCATTCTTTCTACTTTCCAAGACAACCCTCCGTTCAGCATCCACCCTTGAGCACATACTGCCGTCCCCGGACTTCCCATCCCCACCTCTGGAAGACACAGCACCTTTCGGCGAAACCAGAGATTTGGGAGAAGCAGAAGCTTGTTTCGAACCACTTGAAGGGTCCTCCTCTTTCCCTCCCCCTCTCCCCCCACCAGACCCTCCCTCCTCCTCTCCTGAGAAACTCATTTCTGCCCCCTTCCTCAGCTCCTCATTTAGCCTCAGCCTCAGCCGTTCCATTGCAGATTCCCCACCCCCACCCCCACTCCCTCCGCCGGTTGCCACTGCTGCATCCGTCTCCTCTATAAGCTGATCCCGCGCTCGTTTTAGCGAGGCTATCTCCTCTAAAACAGCTGGCAGGGAGATCAGCCCTAGCTTGCCCAGAACCGGGTCTAGTAACCCTGCTTCCACGGAACTTAGCGAGGGTAATGACGGAAACCGCCCAGCTCCTCCTCCTGCTCCTCCTGCTGCAGACCCTCCTGCCTCTGCTCCTTCGTCTCCTGCCCCACCTGATGGTACCACTGTGATTGTAACACCAGCAGCAGCAGCAGCACAAACACCCTTGTTAAGATCCGAGCGCGTGGGAGGGAAGGAGGGGAAGGCCGAGAGAACGGCCGGGGAGGGAGGAGGAGCAGAGGGGTGTGGCGACTGCGGCACGGCTGACAGATCAATCATCGGGCCGGAGCCGTCAACTCCCCCCTGGTGAGCAGCAGCAGAGGCAGAGACAGAGGCAGCAGCAGCAGCAGGAGAGTGGCGGGCGGAGCTGTTGAGGGGAGGGCCGCCCAGACGCGGGTCAGAGAGGATGTGGCGCACGTCGGCGTACAGCTGCTCCTCCTGCGCGTCATCTAGTGCACGACTGCGCTTCAATTGAACTTGCACTAGTTGGGTCTGATGGGGGGAGCGGGGAATGCAAACGGGGGGATGGCGGAAATGGGGGAAGACAGGGAGTGAGGAGGAGGGGATGTGGCGCACGTCGGCGTAGAGTTGCTCCTCCTGCGCGTCATCTAGTGCACGACTGCGCTTCAGCTGCACTTGCACTAGTTGGGTCTGGGGGGGGGAAGGGGGGAGACCGAGGAGGACACGGGGAGACGAAGGGGTGAGGAGGAGGGGATGTGGCGCACATCGGCATACAGCTGCTCCTCCTGTGCGTCGTCTAGTGCGCGGCTGCGCTTCAATTGCACCTGCACCAGCTGGGTCTGATGGGGGGGAATAAGGGGAGAGACCAGGGGCGGATAGGAGAGAGCGTAGAAGGAGAGGGGGTGCAGAAGGGAGATGGAGAGCGGGTGAGGAGAGAATGTGGGGGAAAAGAGTGGAGAAGAAGGCGGGGGAGAGGGAATGAATGTCCTCTTTCTGTCCCCCCCCCCCCATCTCTCTTTTTCCGCCTGCTCCTATGTTTGCTCGGAAATGGCTATGGAACATCGCATTTATTCATCTGCTCGCAGATGAGGTCTCATTTATTATATGTCATGTGACCCATTCATATTGAGACGTCTCAAAACCAACTCTTATCACGCGGATGGGGTCTCATCCGCGCCTTGTTCTTAGAACATCGCCAGCCTTTGCTTCCTTTGCAATCCTTGCTTGCTTTGAGTCAGCTTTTCCTTTGGCAGCCTCTTCGATTCGGCCCCCATCCGCGCCCCCCCATCCCTTCCCTTCCCCCCATCCCTTCCCCCCCACAAACCCTCCCCCGTCGCCAAACCCCCCCACCCCCGTTTCCTCGCCCCCACATCCCCCCACCCCCCACATTGTTTTCCTTGCGCGCACCTGCTCCTGGATCTCCTCGGAGATCGCCATCACGTTCATCGGAAGGTCCGCCAGCGCGCCGCTCAGCTCGAGATTCACCGCGCGCATTCGCTCCCCCATCGCCTCGCGCTCCATTACCTGCGGGGAAGGGGGGGAAGGGGGAGGCAGAGGAGGAGGGGGAGGTGGGGGGGGTGGTGGGGGACATGAGGGGGAAAGCGCCGATCAGCTCCAAATGCACCGCGCGCATGCGCTCCGCCATCGCCTCGTGCTCCATTACCTGCGCGCGCGGGGACGGGGGAGAAAGCCGGGGAAGGAGCGCATGGGCAGAGAATAGACGGGGGGGAGGAGGGAGGAGGGGGAACAAGAGCGTGGGAGGGGGACTCGAAGGGGGAAGCCTTGCTGAGTTGTATGTCGAGCGCGCGTATCTGTTCCGCCATTGCCAAGCCATTGCCCGACGGTTCATCGTTTCCGCAACGCACACAGCGCCGGGGAAGCAATGCGGAGCGGAGAGGAAGCGACAGAAACGGTGATATTGGAGAAAAATTCACACGCGAAATTTCGGAGCGGCGCGAGGCGTAGGGGCGAGTGAAATCGGGGAGAGCGGGGAGCGCGAGCAGCGCGGGGAGGGAGGAGATGACGCGGCGGGAAAGCGAGGATGCAGCAAGGTGACGTGATGCTAGGAGCAAAGATGGAAGCAGCAGCAATGGATAAAGGAGCGAGGAGCGACGGTTCAACACTGATTGCTCAGGTGGATAAAGGGAAGAAAAAGGGGAAAGGGACGCGAGGAGGCGCACTGACCATCCAGATGCGGCTTCCGCTGCTGCAGTCAACGAGAATGGTCTTCGCCGCGCTAAGCGCGGCCCGCATGCTCTGAAACGCAACTACCGCCGCCGGCGGCAGCGGGCTCTTGACGTCTCTAATCTCCTCGAAGAGCGGCGCGAGCAGCTTGATCCGACGGATGAGGATCTGACACGAGCGCTTGTGGCTGCGCAGGCGATCGCCGAGCGCGGAGATCTCGTTGATGATGGAGAGTAAGGAGCCCACTAACGCCATAGATGATGACGTGGCCATCCGCGTCGACGACATGGTGATTGGTTGCGGATGATACGGACACGAATGCGAATGTAGTTGGCTCGAATCTTCTTGTTTCGTTCGCTTGGATGCTTCTGGGGCTGGCTCGAAACGGAAAACTAAATAGCGGGACAGTAACTGAAGAGTGCAGAGAAAATGGGCCAACCTAGAGTGCGGCTGGGTGATGGATTGAGCACATACGTATTTGTGAGCAGCAGCGATAGACTGTTCGTGCATCAAGTGAAGGAGGCGGACACACCAGCAGCTTGAGCCGGCTATGGAGCTGCAGCCATAAATGTGGAAAGCTGGCTTTCGTTCGTACGTAACCGTGCTTGAATCGGAACAGAAAGTCTTGGAAGTTGGAAACTCGGCCAGTACTCAACCACTTGCTGCGATGCAGGAAATGGAGGTCCCGAAGGATTTGCCAATACGAGTTACGACATGTTTTCGACAAAAACTTCGTAGGCGCGTCGACTAGGATTAGATAAGACTGCGAAAATTGGGCGAACTTCTATGGTATTTTGTTTCGCGAGCTCGTGAAAATGGATGCAGGCCCGCTCGACAACGTCCTACATACCTGCTACAGTGATGGTTCATTCAGATAAGACAACTCAGCCTCGGGATGATGTGAGATGTCAGAGAAACCACTGCCAGGCTCTGACGCCGAGTCAACGCTCATTTTTTCGTCATGCTGCAATGCGAGCTGCCGCCTTTTGGATTTTGTGCCTGGCAAAGACTCTTGTGCTTGTGGTGGGGTGCTTGAGCTGGAGCTTGCTCGCATCGACGGCGGAGACTTTCGTCGTGAATTTGTTTGACCCGATCTTACGGTGTAAATAACTCGATGGCATCGGTTCATACTCCTTACCATCCAGCTCAAGACAGCGTTACAGAAGGAGTCTGTTAGGAAATATTTATATTCACTATACCTTATGCCGAAACACTAATGAGCCCAGACTTCTTGTGTGTGCTTCTTTGTCCCTCCTACTGTATCTGCCTGCATATAGCATCTCCCGCCAAGAGTCGGCAGGTCACAGATTCCTCTTCACCATGACGAATCGGCATAATCCGTAGAGGTAGAAAATTGGAATGACACCCACAGTGTAGGCTTTGTTTCCAAGAATCGTATGTTTCTAGGGTATGCAATTCGCGTGTCTACTTTTATGTAGCTAACTGCTCGCCTCATGGGCCGAGAAGCCCCGGGAGCTCAACCCAGCGGCGCCGGCTTTCCCGGCGCATCGTCCTTTAGCAGGCTTCCAAAGAAGGAAGAATCGCAACGCGACGACGAAACGAGTGACGAGAGCAGCGACGAGGAGGAGTGGACTCGCGAGGACGACAAGGGCCGAGAGATGCAATTCTCGCGGATTCTCGAGGGCGTCGTGTTCGCCATCAGCGGAGTGGCGAATCCGGAGCGCGGCGAGCTGCGCGGGAAGGCGATGGAGATGGGCGCGCGGTACCGGCCGGACTGGACGCCGGATTGCACGGTGCTCGTCGCCGCATTCCCCGGCACGCCGAAAGTCAGATCCGTGACTGCCGACGACGGCACGATCGTGTATAAGGTTCGCGCGATTGGTAGCGGAGACGGTGTGCTGAATGGGAATGGGCTGAGTGAGAGAGGGGAGCAATTAGTATTCCATTCAACTGTCTGAGAGAGTTTGAGCATTCCATCCCTCCTGCTCACCTGAGAGGCTCAACATAGTTTTGAGACGTCTCAAGTCAGGTTCAACATCCCAAGCCCTTTTCTTCTATTCACCCTGCACAGCTTAAACCCGCTAGTCTTGCTCCTCCCTTCTTTCTCCGTGCATGCCCCTGCCTGTCCGCGTGTGTGACTATAGCGGTGGGTGGAGCAGTGCTACAGTAACCGCCGCCTCATGAGCATATCCCCCCACGTCATGCATCTTGGGCGGCCGTGGCGCCAAGGCGGGGCGGCAGACAGGGATGTGGACGACGGCGGCGGGCGGCGCAGACGAATCGTGCCGGCCAGAGATCAAGGGCAGGGCGGAAGGGATGGGGGGAGGGGGCGGGGAGGGGGAAGGGATATGGGGAGGACTGGGGGGAGGGGAGACGGGCAGGGGGGTGGCAGATTAGGGGGTAACGATAGGGAAAGGGGAATGGGACGTGGGGGAGTGCAACCAGAAAGAGAAGGAGCTGGGGGGGCGGGGGAGGGGGAGGGGGAGGGCGCGGAGGAGGGGGAGCAGAAGCCCAAGAGGCGGAGGCTGCTGATTCCCCCAATGGCTGGGGGCGGAGACATGGGGGGAGGGAATGGGGGGAGCCTATCGGGGGAAGAGCTAGTGGCGCAGTGGGTGGCGGGGGACATGGTGCATGTGAGAGCGTTTCTGGAGGAGCAGGAGGAGCAGCCCCCGGAGGGGGAGGTGGATAGGGTGGCGCGGGAGGGCATGCTGGCGTGCTTCGATGACGCCATTGCTGGCGTGGAGCAAGGGCAGGTGAGATTTCCCGAGGGGGGGATGGATAGAGTCTCCAGGCACCTCAAAAGGTGGATAGAGTGGCGAGGGAAGGCATGCTGCCATGGAGCAAGTGTAGTTGAGGTTTTCCTCCTGCCTTTTCCTCCGCGCTCGCAGCATCTATTGCCCCTGGCCGGCCCGTCGTGCCCGGTGTACTTCGTTCCCACATCCTATGTACAGTGCTTTCCTCCGCACTCCCAGACAGTCAGTTTTTCTTTACAGCCCACCTCACGTCCTCCTCCCTTATGTGTCTCCCATCGCCCCTCATCCCATCCCAGGCGCTCGCAGCGTCGATTGCCTCTTGGCCCGTTGTGCCCCGTGTGCTGGACCCCCAAACTTCTGTCTCCGCCCCTCCGCACCTCCTCCCCTCCTCTCTCCCGCCGCTGCCGATTTCCCTGGGGAGTGGGGGGGCGGGGGGAGGGGAGTGCCTGCGGGTGCTAAGGCAGTGGAGGGGGATGTATGAGCGGGAGCTGGGGCGGATGGGGGAGAGGGGGAAGGGGGAGGGGGGAGAAGTGAGTGGGGGAGGTGTAGGGGGGGAGGGAGGGGGCTCAGGGGGCGGGGCAGCGGGAGGAGAGAGGGGTGAGGGGAGTGGAGGGGCAAGAGAGGGGGATGGAACGGCAGGAGGGACTGGTAGAGAAGGGGGAGGGCATGGTGGGAATGGTGGTGTTGGTGATGCTGCTGCACAAAATGGTAGTGCTTCTGGTGCGAGCAGTGGTGCTGCTGGCACTGCACCAGAAGAGGGAGAAAGGAATCCAGAGAAGGGAGATGGTCGTAGCGGTAACCCTATCGATGACTACGACACTGACAGCTGCTCTGAGGGTGGAGTGGGGGAGGGTGTTGCAAAGTGAGAGTTACAGCTGTTTGCGGTTCAGGCTGATTATTGGAACGGAGACTAGTGTTTGATGTGAATGTTTCCTAGTACAGTAATGTACAGTGGTGAGTTGTGTGAATTATGGTATGTTATTTTGCAAATTAGGAGTCCTCCGTACACATTGTTTCACATACCGTACTACCTCTTCCAGACAGTTCACGTTCATTATCGCACTTCACATTCCTGTGACGAGGAATGATGTATCGAAGAGCAGCGAGCAGCAGCAATTAGTAGCATGTGCGACATTACTGAAGTAGAAGCTGCCGCGATGCGGTATGGCACAATCCGAACTCGTCCGTGCTTTTTGATCTGGTTTAGTTCGTCGCATTAATCTCCTCTGACATGGCCGCTCGCCGCGCTCGCCAGTGTGAAGCAGTTCCCGAGTTTTTCTGACACGTCGCAGAATTCGTCGTTCGAGAGTTACAGCCTGAACGAACTTCACGTGGCTGTCTGCCATGTGTCATTTGAGACCTTTCCGTTTTCCCCGTGAACGATCGTGAGCATTCTTCGACGCTGTCAGTCTGAGGAGTTTGATTTAGCGGGTTTCACGCGGCTATCGCCCCTTCTTCCGCCATGGCTACTGCGCGCCAGTATCTCCCGCCGCAGTCGTTTTGAGGAGTTTAGAGGAGTCTAGAGGGGTTTCAAGTAACTGGTCCACGCTCCCTTTCCCGCCATGGCCGCTCGTCAGTATCTCCCGCCGCAGTCGCAGCGCCAGCCGCAGTTCTGGCGGCCGGGAGCGGCGCGACCGGGCGAATCGCTCGCGTCTCGGGCGTCGCTAGCGGTGGACGCGGACGGCGCGGATGCTGACGTGTCAATAGCCTCGCTGGCAAGGTGCGACAGTCACCCCCCTCGTAGCCCCTTCCGTCTCGCCGTACATTGTTCCGTTAGCGCGGGTAGGTCGTGAAAGACTTGCAGTGCTTTAGTTTCAGAGACTGGGAGGGTATCAGTCTATCTGATTCATTCTCCTAAGGCGCCTTTAAAGGAGGGGATCGTCTATCTGCAGGAGTCTGTCACTGTGGTGGATGGGATTTCACCAGTCTCCCTTCCCGTCCTCTCTTCCCGCCTTCCGCTCTTCCCCTCACTCCTCGCTATCAGTCCCTTTGTGCAGAGCGGGCGTGAGAAGCTACCGGTGTTCAAGCACAGGGAGGGGATTCTATACCTGATGGAAACACACGCCGTCACAGTGGTGGTTGGGGAGACAGGCAGTGGCAAAACCACTCAGATCCCACAGGTGAAGGCTCATGAGAGATAAGAGTTTCATGCGGTGAGAGGGCAGGAGGTGAAAGCAGATACAATGCTCTGTTGTCCCATTTTTTCCGTTCCTCTCCGATCCTTTTCCCCCAACCTCCTACGCCTCCGCGTCTCCACAACTCTCTCTCATTACTCCCTTAACCCCTCTGAGTCACTGGCAGTACTTGGTGGAAGCAGGGTGGGAGGCATTTTTGAGTCGACTCAAAAGTCACCTCGTCCGCGTCTCCACAACTCTCTCTCATTACTCCCTTAACCCCTCTGAGTCACTGACAGTACTTGGTGGAAGCAGGGTGGGCGGCAGGGGGGAGAGTCGTGGCGTGCACTCAACCCAGGAGAGTGGCGGCTCAGGTGAGTGTTGGGTGGAAGTGCCGGGATGAAATGTTAGAAACATCTTAGAGATTGCATGGCCCAAGCATGATTCATGTGTATAAGATCGAGATCATCCGCAACGACGATTTAGGGCATCTGATCAAGAACATTACGATCATTCATGTGTATAAGATCAAATCAAGGCCACCTGCATCCACACCTGGAAGAGCATGAACCATCGTTTGATTCCCATTCCCTCCACCATCGGCCTTTCTATCCCTCCCTCCTCATCACCTCCCTCCCTCATCCGCACCGCCCACTTTAAGGTCAAACCTGTCGTCCCTTTCCCCTTCCCCTTCCGTGCATCCCGCTCCCTCCATCGCTCCCCTTCCATCGTCTCATTGCCCTTTCCGAGTTCGTGACAGATGGTGGCGAGCAGAGTTGCAGAGGAGATGGGGGTGGCGCTCGGGGAGAGGGTGGGCTACAGCATTCGCTTTGAGAATGTCACCACACAGGTAACTAACGTGCCTTGACTTGACTTCACGTGTCTGCAGCACTCCACGTCCACTTCAATCTTTCACTCTCCGCGTTCCGTTGGCTACACCTACACAGGGGTTTTGGGACGTCTCAAAACTCGCTTGATGTCCGACAGCTTTGTGCATGTATGTACCTGTCGCATCTTACACTTCCCTTCCACTTTGCGTTGGCTGTGCAGGGAGTGACGCAAATCAAGTTCCTCACAGATGGCGTGCTGCTCCGGGAGATGATGGAAGACCCGCTGCTTTCCAGATACAGGTTCGTATGGCATGGTTAGGCGTAATAAGGCTTGTCTAGGCACGGCGTAACATTGTGGGAGATGACGGAGGACCCGCTGCTCTCAACTCAAGATACAGGCTCGAATGGCATGGTGTGGCATGGTGTGGCATGGTGTGGCATGGTGTGGCATGGTGTGGCATGGTAAGGCATGGTGTGGCATGGTGTGGCATGGTGTGGCATGGTGTGGCATGGTGTGGCATGGTGTGGCATGGTAAGGCATGGTAAGGCACGTCGTGCAGGGCTGTGCAGGGTGTGACGCAAATCAAGTTCCCTATTGATGTGGTGCTGCGGAGGGAGATGATGGAGGACCCACTGCTCTCCAGATACAGGTCACGCATGGTCAGACATGGTCAGGCATGGTCAGGCATGGTCAGGTATGGTCAGGTATGGTCAGGCATGGTCAGGTATGGTCAGGCATGGTCAGGTATGGTCAGGTATGGTCAGGCATGGTCAGGTATGGTCAGGCATGGTCAGGTATGGTCAGGTATGGTCAGGCATGGCGTGCGCGTGGACCAAGTCGCGCGCGTGGACCAGGGCGCGCGCGCGGACCAAGGCGCGCGCGCGGACCAATGTGCGCGCGCGGACCAAGGTGTGTGTGCAGACCAAGGCGCGCGCGCGGACCAAGGCGCGCGCGCGGACCAAGGCGCGCGCCCGGACCAAGGCGCGCGCGCGGACCAAGGCGCGCGCGCGGACCAAGGCGCGCGCCCGGACCAAGGCGCGCGCGCGGACCAAGGCGCGCGCCCGGACCAAGGCGCGCCCCCGGACCAAGGCGCGCGCGCGAACCAGGGCGCGCGCCCGGACCAAGGCGCGCGTCCGGACCAAGGCGCGCGCGCAGACCAAGGCGCGCGCGCGGACCAATGTGCGCGCGCGGACCAAGGTGTGTGTGCAGACCAAGGCGCGCGCGCGGACCAAGGCGCGCGCGCGGACCAAGGCGCGCGCGCGGACCAAGGCGCGCGCGCAGACCAAGGCGCGCGCCCGGACCAAGGCGCGCGCGCGGACCAAGGCGCGCGCCCGGACCAAGGCGCGCCCCCAGACCAAGGCGCGCGCGCGGACCAGGGCGCGCGCCCGGACCAAGGCGCGCGTCCGGACCAAGGCGCGCGCCCGGACCAAGGCGCGTGCGCAGACCAAGGCGCGCGCGCGGACCAAGGCGCGCGCGCGGACCAAGGCGCGCGCCCGGACCAAGGCGCGCGCCCGCGGACCAAGGCGCGCGCGCGGACCAAGGCGCGCGTGGACCAAGGCGCGCGCGCGGACCAAGACGCGCGCGGACCAAGGCGCGCGCCCGGACCAAGGCGCGCGCCCGGACCAAGGCGCGCGCGCGGACCAAGGCGCGCGCGCGGACCAAGGCGCGCGCGCGGACCAAGGCGCGCGCGCGGACCAAGGCGCACGCGCGGACCAAGGCGCGCACGCGGACCAAGGCGCGCGCGCGGACCAAGGCGCGCGCCCGGACCAAGGCGCGCGCCCGGACCATTGCGCGCGCGCGGACCATTGCGCGCGCGCGGACCAAGGCGCGCGCGCGGACCAAGGCGCGCCCCCGGACCAAGGCGCGCCCCCGGACCAAGGCGCGCCCCCGGACCAAGGCGCGCGCCCGGACCAAGGCGCGCGCCCGGACCAAGGCGCGCGTCCGGACCAAGGCGCGCGCCCGGACCAAGGCGCGCCCCCGGACCTAGGCGCGCCCCCGGACCAAGGCGCGCCCCCGGACCAAGGCGCGCCCCCGGACCAAGGCGCGCCCCCGGACCAAGGCGCGCGCGCGGACCAAGGCGCGCCCCCGGACCAAGGCGCGCCCCCGGACCAAGGCGCGCCCCCGGACCAAGGCGCGCGCCCGGACCACGGCGCGCGCCCGGACCACGGCGCGCGCCCGGACCACGGCGCGCGCGCGGACCAAGGTGCGCCCCCGGACCAAGGCGCGCCCCCGGACCAAGGCGCGCACGCAGACCAACGCGCGCGCGCGGACCGAGGCGCGCGCCCGGACCAAGGCGCGCGCCCGGACCAAGGCGCGCGCCCGGACCAAGGCGCGCGCCCGGACCAAGGGGCGCCCGCGGACCAAGGCGCGCGCGCGGACCAAGGCGCGCGCGCGGACCAAGGCGCGCCCCCGGACCAAGGCGCGCCCCCGGACCAAGGCGTGCGCCAGGACCAGGGCGCGCGCCCGGACCAAGGCGCGCGTCCGGACCAAGGCGCGCCCCCGGACCTAGGCGAGCCCCCGGACCAAGGCGCGCCCCCGGACCAAGGAGCGCCCCCGGACCAAGGCGCGCGCCCGGACCAAGGCGCGCGCGCGGACCAAGGGGCGCCCGCGGACCAAGGCGCGCGCGCGGACCAAGGCGCGCGCGCGGACCAAGGCGCGCCCCCGGACCAAGGCGCGCCCCCGGACCAAGGCGTGCGCCCGGACCAGGGCGCGCGCCCGGACCAAGGCGCGCGTCCGGACCAAGGCGCGCCCCCGGACCTAGGCGAGCCCCCGGACCAAGGCGCGCCCCCGGACCAAGGAGCGCCCCCGGACCAAGGCGCGCGCCCGGACCACAGCGCGCCCCCGGACCAAGACGCGCACGCAGACCAACGCGCGCGCGCGGACCAAGTCGCGCACGGACCAAGGCGCGCGCGCGGACCAAGGCGCGCGCGCGGACCAAGGCGCGCGCGCGGACCAAGGCGCGCGCGCGGACCAAGGCGCGCGCGCGGACCAAGGCGCGCGCCCGGACCAAGGCGCGCGCCCGGACCAAGGCGCGCGCCCGGACCAAGGCGCGCGCGCGGACCAAGGCGCGCGCGCGGACCAAGGCGCGCGCCCGGACCAAGGCGCGCGCCCGGACCAAGGCGCGCGCCCGGACCAAGGCGCGCGCCCGGACCAAGGCGCGCGCGCGGACCAAGGCGCGCGCGCGGACCAAGGCGCGCGCCCGGACCAAGGCGCGCGCGCGGACCAAGGCGTGCGCGCGGACCAAGGCCAGCGCCCGGACCAAGGCGCGCGCCCGGACCAAGGCGCGCGCCCGGACCAAGGCGCGCCCGCGGACCAAGGCGCGCCCGCGGACCAAGGCGCGCGCGCGGACCAAGGCGCGCGCGCGGACCAAGGCGCGCGCCCGGACCAAGGCTTCGCCCGGACCAAGGCGCGCGCGCGGACCAAGGCGCGCGCGCGGACCAAGGCGCGCGCCCGGACCAAGGCGCGCGCGCGGACCAATGCGCGCGCCCGGACCAAGGCGCGCGCCCGGACCAAGGCGCGCGCCCGGACCAAGGCGCGCGCCCGGACCAAGGCGCGCGCCCGGACCAAGGCGCGCGCCCGGACCAAGGCGCGCGCCCGGACCAAGGCGTGCGCCCGGACCAAGGCGCGCGCCCGGACCAAGGCGCGCGCCCGGACCAAGGCGCGCGCCCGGACCAAGGCGCGCGCCCGGACCAAGGCGCGCGCCCGGACCAAGGCGCGCGCCCGGACAAAGGCGCGCGCGCGGACCAAGGCGCGCGCCCGGACCAAGGCGCTCGCGCGGACCAAGGCGCGGGCGCGGACCAAGGCGCGCGCCCGGACCAAGGCGCGCGCCCGGACCAAGGCGCGCGCGCGGACCAAGGCGCGCGCGCGGACCAAGGCGCGCCCCCGGACCAAGGCGCGCGCGCGGACCAAGGCGCGCGCCCGGACCAAGGCGCGCCCGCGGACCAAGGCGCGCGCCCGGACCAAGGCGCGCGCCCGGACCAAGGCGCGCGCCCGGACCAAGGCGCGCGCCCGGACCAAGGCGCACGCGCAGACCAAGGCGCGGTCGCGGACCAAGGCGCGCGCCCGGACCAAGGCGCGCGCCCGGACCAAGGCGCGCGCCCGGACCAAGGCGCGCGCGCGGACCAAGGCGCGCCCCCGGACCAAGGCGCGCGCCCGGACCAAGGCGCGCGCCCGGACCAAGGCGCGCCCGCGGACCAAGGCGCGCGCCCTTACCAAGGCGCGCGCCCGGACCAAGGCGCGCGCCCGGACCAAGGCGCGCGCCCGGACCAAGGCGCGCGCCCGGACCAAGGCGCGCGCCCGGACCAAGGCGCGAGCGCGGACCAAGGCGCGCGCGCGGACCAAGGCGCGCGGGCGGACCAAGGCGCGCGCCCGGACAAAGGCGCTCGCGCGGACCAAGGCGCGGGCGCGGACCAAGGCGCGCGCGCGGACCAAGGCGCGCGCGCGGACCAAGGCGCGCGCCCGGACCAAGGCGCGCGCCCGGACCAAGGCGCGCGCCCGGACCAAGGCGCGCGCCCGGACCAAGGCGCGCGCCCGGACCAAGGCGCGCGCCCGGACCAAGGCGCGCGCCCGGACCAAGGCGCGCGCCCGGACCAAGGCGCGCGCCCGGACCAAGGCGCACGCGCGGACCAAGGCGCGGGCGCGGACCAAGGCGCGCGCCCGGACCAAGGCGCGCGCCCGGACCAAGGCGCGCGCGCGGACCAAGGCGCGCGCGCGGACCAAGGCGCGCGCGCGGACCAAGGCGCGCGCGCGGACCAAGGCGCGCGCGCGGACCAAGGCGCACGCGCGGACCAAGGCGCGCGCGCGGACCAAGGCGCGGGCGCGGACGAAGGCGCGCGCCCGGACCAAGGCGCGCGCCCGGACCAAGGCGCGCGCCCGGACCAAGGCGCGCGCCCGGACCAGGGCGCGCGCGCGGACCAGGGCGCGCGCGCGGACCAGGGCGCGCGCGCGGACCAGGGCGCGCGCGCGGACCAGGGCGCGTGCGCGGACCTGGGTGCGCCTGGACCAAGGCGCGCGCCCGGACCAAGGCGCGCGCGCGGACCAGGGCGCGCGCGCGGACCAAGGCGCGCACGCAGACCAGGGCGCGCCCGGACCAAGGCGCGCGTGGACCTGCTCTTTTTGTGTCTGATCTGTTGCCTGTAAATTGTGGTTCCCTATTGTTCGACAACGAACGACCTATGCCTTATGTGATTGGGTGTAACGCTGTTATATGACATGCCAGAGTGTCGATTGAGCATTCGTCATGTGAATATGCTGCGTGCCATTATATTACGGTGCCTGGCAGTGTGATCATGGTGGACGAGGCGCATGAGCGCAGCTTGGCAACGGATATTCTCCTGGGCCTCCTCAAGAAGGTGTGTGTGCTGTGTTGTGATCATGGGGGGTTGGTTGGTGTAGTAACCCATGTTTGTCGTTTCTCTTTTTGCCAACATATGCTAGCTCTTGCGTGTCATTAAAGCCGGTCAGCGTTTGTACATTTCTGCTTCCACTGCATTAGCCCCTGCCCTGCCCCTTGACCCTCTTCCGCTGCCCCTCTTCCCCTTTCCCTCCCTTCCCCCTCTCCCCGCGCTTCCCCCTTTGCCTCTCCCCGTCCGTCCCCCGCTTCTCCATCCATGCCCCAGGTGATGCGGCGGCGTCCTGACCTCCGATTGGTCATCTCATCTGCCACGTTGGCAGCTGATGACGTGGCAGCCTTCTTTGACACCAGGTGCGCTGCGTCGCCCATGCTGACTGAGCGGCTAGTCAATCCTCTTCTGGTTCTTAGTTGACTTTTGAGTCAACTCAAAAGTCAATGTCGTCGCCCACGCTGAGCGGCTAGTCAATCCTCTTCTGGTTCCTTTCTTCACTTCCCCTCTCTCACGCCCTCTCCTCCTTCCCCCCGCTTTGCCTTCCCCGTCCCTCACTCACTCCCCTTCCGCTTCCACCCCCCGACTGCTGCTGACCGTGTTTTTGCTTCACACCCGTCACCGCACGTCACCCCTTTCCCCCGGTAACCTGTCTCACCGCCCCCCAGCAATGAGAAGCCAAAGTTTCAGCCGGAAGGCTCTCAGCTGCAAGCCCTTCCCAGCCGCAAGCCAGCGATCATCTCCGGACTGGAGGGACTGCGTTTTTCCACTCCAGGAAAAACGCAGCCACCCCGTGCAGCTGCTGTACCTGGACTGGAGGGACCCACTTAGAATTTCCTGCACATCACCCTCTCTCCCTCCTTACCCTCTCTCACCTTCCCCCAGCCACGAGAAGCTTAAGGTTGTGCCAGGAGGCTCTGACGCCCTTCCCAGCCGCAAGCCAGCGATCATGTCCGTGGAGGGGCGCAGCCACCCCGTGCAGCTGCTGTATCTTGAGGAACCCTCCTCGGACTACCTGCAAACAGCACTTGACACTGTTCTTGCTATTCACTGCCAGGTGAGGCTCTTCTTCCACAGCACCTCTCTTCTCACCACCCCGTGCAGCTGCTGTACCTTGAGGAACCCTCCTCGGATTACCTGCAAACAGCACTCGACACCGTGCTCGCCATTCACTGCCAGGTGAGGCCACCCCTCTGCATACCTCTGCATCCCTCTGCATACCTCTGCATCCCTCTGCATACCTCTGCATCCCTCTGCATGCCTCTGCATCCCTCTGCCACCCTCCCTCTGCCCCATCGTCCTTGCAACAGCTGTAATGGATGTGAGCACTTGATGTTGTCCGAGAATTTCTGCAAACCTGCACCTCAAACCTGCACCTCAAACCTGCACCTCAAACCTGCACCTCAAACCTGCACCTCAAACCTGCACCTCAAACCTGCACGTCAAACCTGCACCTCAAACCTGCACCTATACCTGCACCTCAAACCTGCACCTCAAACCTGCACCTCAAACCTGCACCTCAAACCTGCACCTCAAACCTGCACCTCAAACCTGCACCTCAAACCTGCACCGCAAACCTGCACCTCAAACCTGCACCTCGAACCTGCACCTCAAACCTGCACCTCAAACCTGCACCTCAAACCTGCACCTCAAACCTGCACCTCAAACCTGCACCTCAAACCTGCACCTCAAACCTGCACCTCAAACCTGCACCTCAAACCTGCACCACCTCAAACCTGCACCTCAAACCTGCACCTCAAACCTGCACCTCAGATCGGGTTCCCCCCATCGGGTTCCCCCCATCGGGTTCCCCCCATCGGGTTCCCCCCATCGGGTTCCCCCCATCGGGTTCCCCCCATCGGGTTCCCCCCATCGGGTTCCCCCCATCGGGTTCCCCCCATCGGGTTCCCCCCATCGGGTTCCCCCCATCGGGTTCCCCCCATCGGGCTCCCCCCATCGGGCTCCCCCCATCGGGTTCCCCCCATCGGGTTCCCCCCATCGGGTTCCCCCCATCGGGTTCCCCCCATCGGGTTCCCCCCATCGGGTTCCCCCCATCGGGTTCCCCCCATCGGGTTCCCCCCATCGGGTTCCCCCCATCGGGTTCCCCCCATCGGGTTCCCCCCATCGGGTTCCCCCCATCGGGTTCCCCCCATCGGGTTCCCCCCATCGGGTTCCCCCCATCGGGTTCCCCCCATCGGGTTCCCCCCATCGGGTTCCCCCCATCGGGTTCCCCCCATCGGGTTTCCCCCCATCGGGTTCCCCCATCGGGTTCCCCCCATCGGGTTCCCCCATCGGGTTCCCCCCATCGGGTTCCCCCCATCGGGTTCCCCCCATCGGGTTCCCCCCATCGGGTTCCCCCCATCGGGTTCCCCCCATCGGGTTCCCCCCATCGGGTTCCCCCATCGGGTTCCCCCCATCGGGTTCCCCCCATCGGGTTCCCCCCATCGGGTTCCCCCCATCGGGTTCCCCCCATCGGGTTCCCCCCATCGGGTTCCCCCCATCGGGTTCCCCCCATCGGGTTCCCCCCATCGGGTTCCCCCCATCGGGTTCCCCCCATCGGGTTCCCCCCATCGGGTTCCCCCCATCGGGTTCCCCCCATCGGGTTCCCCCCATCGGGTCCCCCCCATCGGGTCCCCCCATTCGGGTCCCCCCCATCGGGTCCCCCCCATCGGGTCCCCCCCATCGGGTCCCCCATCGGGTTCCCCCCATCGGGTTCCCCCCATCGGGTTCCCCCCATCGGGTCCCCCATCGGGTTCCCCATCAGGATCCCCATCAGGTTCCCCATCAGGTTCCCCATCAGGTTTCCCATCAGGTTCCCATCAGGTTCCCCATCAGGTTCCCCATCAGGTTCCCCATCAGGTTCCCCATCAGGTTCCCCATCAGTTTCCCCACCCCATCAGGTTCCCCATCAGGTTCCCCATCAGGTTTCCCATCAGGTTCCTATCAGGTTCCCCATCAGGTTCCCCATTAGGTTCCCCATCAGGTTCCCCATCAGGTTCCCCATCAGGTTCCCCATCAGGTTCCCCATCAGGTTCCCCACCCCATCAGGTTCCCCATCAGTTTCCCCACCCCATCAGGTTCCCCATCAGGTTCCCCATCAGGTTCCCCATCAGGTTCCCCATCAGTTTCCCCACCCCATCAGTTTCCCCATCAGGTTCCCCATCAGGTTTTCCATCAGGTTCCCCATCAGGTTCCCCATCAGGTTCGCCATCAGGTTCCCCATCAGGTTCCCCATCAGGTTCCCCATCAGGTTCCCCATCAGGATCCCCATCAGGTTCCCCATCAGGTTCCCCATCAGGTTCCCCATCAGGTTCCCCATCAGGTTCCCCATCAGGTTCCCCATCAGGTTTTCCATCAGGTTCCCCATCAGGTTTTCCATCAGGTTCCCCATCAGGTTCCCATCAGGTTCCCCATCAGGTTCCCCATCAGGTTCCCCATCAGGTTCCCCATCAGGTTCCCCATCAGGTTCCCCATCAGGTTCCCCATCAGGTTCCCCATCAGGTTTCCCATCAGGTTCCCCATCAGTTTCCCCACCCCATCAGGTTCCCCATCAGGTTCCCCATCAGGTTCCCCATCAGGTTCCCCATCAGGTTCCCATCAGGTTCCCCATCAGGTTCCCCATCAGGTTCCCCATCGGGTTGCCCATCGGGTTCCCCATCAGGTTCCCCATCAGGTTCCCCATCAGGTTCCCCATCAGGTTCCCCATCAGGTTTCCCATCAGGTTCCCCATCAGTTACCCCACCCCATCAGGTTCCCCATCAGGTTCCCCATCAGGTTTCCCATCAGGTTCCCATCAGGTTCCCCATCAGGTTCCCCATCAGGTTTCCCATCAGGTTCCCCATCAGGTTCCCCATCAGGTTCCCCATCAGGTTCCCCATCAGGTTCCCATCAGGTCCCCCATCAGGTTCCCCATCAGGTTCCCCATCAGGGTTCCCATCAGGTTCCCCATCAGGTTGCCCATCAGGTTGCCCATCAGGTTCCCCATCAGGTTCCCCATCAGGTTCCCCATCAGGTTTCCCATCAGGTTCCCATCAGGTTCCCCATGAGGTTCCCAATCAGGTTCCCCATCAGGTTCCCCATCAGGTTCCCCATCAGGTGCCCCATCAGGTGCCCCATCAGGTTCCCCATCAGGTTCCCCATCAGGTTCCCCATCAGGTTCCCATCAGGTTCCCCATCAGGTTCCCCATCAGGTTCCCCATCAGGTTCCCCATCAGGTTCCCCATCAGGTTCCCCATCAGGTTCCCATCAGGTTCCCATCAGGTTCCCCATCAGGTTCCCCATCAGGTTCCCCGTCAGGTTCCCAGTCAGGTTCCCAGTCAGGTTCCCCGTCAGGTTCCCCGTCAGGTTCCCCGTCAGGTTCCCCGTCAGGTTCCCCGTCAGGTTCCCCATCCGGTTCCCCATCAGATTCCCCATCAGGTTCCCCATCAGGTTCCCCATCATGTTCCCCATCAGGTTCCCCATCAGGTTCCCCATCAGGTTCCCCATCAGGTTCCCCATCAGGTTCCCCACCCCATCAGGTTCCCCATCAGGTTCCCCATCAGGTTTCCCATCAGGTTCCCATCAGGTTCCCATCAGGTTCCCCATCAGGTTCCCCATCAGGTTCCCCATCAGGTTCCCCATCAGGTTCCCCATCAGGTTTCCCATCAGGTTCCCCATCAGTTACCCCACCCCATCAGGTTCCCCATCAGGTTCCCCATCAGGTTTCCCATCAGGTTCCCATCAGGTTCCCCATCAGGTTCCCCATCAGGTTTCCCATCAGGTTCCCCATCAGGTTCCCCATCAGGTTCCCCATCAGGTTCCCCATCAGGTTCCCATCAGGTTCCCCATCAGGTTCCCCATCAGGTTCCCCATCAGGTTCCCCATCAGGTTCCCCATCAGGTTGCCCATCAGGTTGCCCATCAGGTTCCCCATCAGGTTCCCCATCAGATTTCCCATCAGGTTCCCATCAGGTTCCCCATCAGGTTCCCCATCAGGTTCCCCATCAGGTTCCCCATCAGGTTCCCCATCAGGTTCCCCATCAGGTTCCCCATCAGGTTCCCCATCAGGTTCCCCATCAGGTTCCCCATCAGGTTCCCCATCAGGTTCCCCATCAGGTTCCCCATCAGGTTCCCCATCAGGTTCCCCATCAGGTTCCCCATCAGGTTCCCCATCAGGTTCCTCATCGAGTTCCCCATCAGTTTCCCCACCCCATCAGGTTCCCCATCAGGTTCCCCATCAGGTTTCCCATCAGGTTCCCATCAGGTTCCCCATCAGGTTCCCCATCAGGTTTCCCATCAGGTTCCCCAGCAGGTTCCCCATCAGGTTCCCCATCAGGTTCCCCATCAGGTTGCCCATCGGGTTCCCCATCAGGTTCCCCATCAGGTTCCCCATCAGGTTCCCCATCAGGTTCCCCATCAGGTTTCCCATCAGGTTCCCCATCAGTTACCCCACCCCATCAGGTTCCCCATCAGGTTCCCCATCAGGTTTCCCATCAGGTTCCCATCAGGTTCCCCATCAGGTTCCCCATCAGGTTTCCCATCAGGTTCCCCATCAGGTTCCCCATCAGGTTCCCCATCAGGTTCCCATCAGGTTCCCCATCAGGTTCCCCATCAGGTTCCCCATCAGGTTCCCCATCAGGTTCCCCGTCAGGTTCCCCGTCAGGTTCCTCGTCAGGTTCCCAGTCAGGTTCCCCGTCAGGTTCCCCGTCAAATTCCCCGTCAGGTTCCCCGTCAGGTTCCCCGTCCGGTTCCCCATCCGGTTCCCCATCAGGTTCCCCATCAGGTTCCCCATCAGGTTCCCCATCATGTTCCACATCAGGTTCCCCATCAGGTTCCCCATCAGGTTCCCCATCAGGTTCCCCATCAGGTTCCCCATCAGGTTCCCCACCCCATCAGGTTCCCCATCAGGTTCCCCATCAGGTTTCCCATCAGGTTCCCATCAGGTTCCCATCAGGTTCCCCATCAGGTTCCCCATCAGGTTCCCCATCAGGTTCCCCATCAGGTTCCCCATCAGGTTTCCCATCAGGTTCCCCATCAGTTACCCCACCCCATCAGGTTCCCCATCAGGTTCCCCATCAGGTTTCCCATCAGGTTCCCATCAGGTTCCCCATCAGGTTCCCCATCAGGTTTCCCATCAGGTTCCCCATCAGGTTCCCCATCAGGTTCCCCATCAGGTTCCCCATCAGGTTCCCATCAGGTTCCCCATCAGGTTCCCCATCAGGTTCCCCATCAGGTTCCCCATCAGGTTCCCCATCAGGTTGCCCATCAGGTTGCCCATCAGGTTCCCCATCAGGTTCCCCATCAGGTTCCCCATCAGGTTTCCCATCAGGTTCCCATCAGGTTCCCATGAGGTTCCCAATCAGGTTCCCCATCAGGTTCCCCATCAGGTTCCCCATCAGGTTCCCCATCAGGTTCCCCATCAGGTTCCCCATCAGGTTCCCCATCAGGTTCCCCATCAGGTTCCCCATCAGGTTCCCCATCAGGTTCCCCATCAGGTTCCCCATCAGGTTCCCCATCAGGTTCCCCATCAGGTTCCCCATCAGGTTCCCCATCAGGTTCCCCATCAGGTTCCCCATCAGGTTCCCATCAGGTTCCCCATCAGGTTCCCCATCAGGTTCCCCATCAGGTTCCCCATCAGGTTCCCCATCAGGTTCCCCATCAGGTTCCTCATCAGGTTCCCCATCAGTTTCCCCACCCCATCAGGTTCCCCATCAGGTTCCCCATCAGGTTTCCCATCAGGTTCCCATCAGGTTCCCCATCAGGTTCCCCATCAGGTTCCCCATCAGGTTCCCCAGCAGGTTCCCCATCAGGTTCCCCATCAGGTTCCCCATCAGGTTGCCCATCGGGTTCCCCATCAGGTTCCCCATCAGGTTCCCCATCAGGTTTCCCATCAGGTTCCCCATCAGTTACCCCACCCCATCAGGTTCCCCATCAGGTTTCCCATCAGGTTCCCATCAGGTTCCCCATCAGGTTCCCCATCAGGTTTCCCATCAGGTTCCCCATCAGGTTCCCCATCAGGTTCCCCATCAGGTTCCCATCAGGTTCCCCATCAGGTTCCCCATCAGGTTCCCCATCAGGTTCCCCATCAGGTTCCCCATCAGTTTCCCCACCCCATCAGGTTCCCCATCAGGTTCCCCATCAGGTTTCCCATCAGGTTCCCATCAGGTTCCCCATCAGGTTCCCCATCGGGTTTCCCATCAGGTTCCCATCAGGTTCCCCATGAGGTTCCCAATCAGGTTCCCCATCAGGTTCCCCATCAGGTTCCCCATCAGGTGCCCCATCAGGTTCCCCATCAGGTTCCCCATCAGGTTCCCCATCAGGTTCCCATCAGGTTCCCCATCAGGTTCCCCATCAGGTTCCCCCATCAGGTTCCCCATCAGGTTCCCCATCAGGTTCCCCATCAGGTTCCCCATCAGGTTCCCCATCAGGTTCCCCATCAGGTTCCCCATCAGGTTTCCCCATCAGGTTCCCCATCAGGTTCCCCATCAGGTTCCCCATCAGGTTCCCCATCAGGTTCCCATCAGGTTCCCCATCAGGTTCCCCATCAGGTTCCCCATCATGTTCCCCATCAGGTTCCCCATCAGGTTCCCCATCAGGTTCCTCATCAGGTTCCCCATCAGTTTCCCCACCCCATCAGGTTCCCCATCAGGTTCCCCATCAGGTTTCCTATCAGGTTCCCATCAGGTTCCCCATCAGGTTCCCCATCAGGTTCCCCATCAGGTTCCCCAGCAGGTTCCCCATCAGGTTCCCCATCAGGTTCCCCATCAGGTTCCCCATCAGGTTTCCCATCAGGTTCCCCATCAGTTACCCCACCCCATCAGGTTTCCCATCAGGTTCCCATCAGGTTCCCATCAGGTTCCCCATCAGGTTTCCCATCAGGTTCCCCATCAGGTTCCCCATCAGGTTCCCCATCAGGTTCCCATCAGGTTCCCCATCAGGTTCCCCATCAGGTTCCCCATCAGGTTCCCCATCAGTTTCCCCACCCCATCAGGTT